TTAGGGCAAAAAGAATTGGCTGCCTTCCATCTTAATTTAGCATACACTTGGCTATACCTCTCCTTAAAATAGTCTACGTCATATAGACCAAACTCTAGCCGCCATGTTGCTTAGTTACAGTGCCTCCATTGTACTCTATCCCTTTCTTCTTCATCGTCTCGCTTCTTCTATATTCTATCTATCCCATCTACAAATTCGACGGCAGCAATGACTATCTAGGCCAGTGGTAGGCTGCCACGTTAATCCATTGATTGACTACAGTAATATGATGATGAGGATTGCATTGCCACGTCGACCCATCTCGATCATCATGATTGATGGTGATCGAGTTGCGATTTTCAAGATTCCTTTTCGATGGACATTCTATTTTAGGCTATGATAGCTGAACCAGTAGCAGTATCTACTTGCTACGTGGAAATACTCAACCTAGCAATCATTTTGAGTTTATTCAATTTGACGATTGATTTTATTTTGACTTTGTAATTGAATTTTAGCCTTGCTCTCGCTCAATCGGTACAGCAGTATGATGATGAGGATTGCATTGCCTTTTCGACCCATCTCGATCAACAGGATTGATGGTGATCGAGTTCTATTTTAGGCTATGATAACTGAACCAGTAGCAGTATCTACTTGCTACGTGGAAATACTCAACCTAGCAATCATTTTGAGTTCATTCTATTGGACGATTGATTTTATTTTGACTTTGTAATTGAATTTTAGCCTTGCTCTCGCTCAATCGGTACAGCAGTATGATGATGAGGATTGCATTGCCTTTTCGACCCATCTCGATCAACAGGATTGATGGTGATCGAGTTCTATTTTAGGCTATGATAACTAAACCAGTAGCAGTATCTACTTGCTACGTGGAAATACTCAACATAGCAATCATTTGAGTTTATTCAATTTGACGATTGATTTTATTTTGACTTGGTAATTGAATTTTAGCCTCGATGGTGTTGCTCTCGCTCAATCGGTACAGCAGTATGATGATGAGGATTGCATTGCCTCGTCGACCCATCTCGATCAACAAGATTGATGGTGATCGAGTTCTATTTTAGGCTATGATAACTGAACCAGTAGCAGTATCTACTTGCTACGTGGAAATACTCAACCTAGCAATCATTTTGAGTTCATTCTATTGGACGATTGATTTTATTTTGACTTTGTAATTGAATTTTAGCCTTGCTCTCGCTCAATCGGTACGGCAGTATGATGATGAGGATTGCATTGCCTCGTTGACCCATCTCGATCAACAAGATTGATGGTGATCGAGTTCTATTTTAGGCTATGATAACTGAACCAGTAGCAGTATCTACTTGCTACGTGGAAATACTCAACATAGCAATCATTTTGAGTTCATTCTATTGGACGATTGATTTTATTTTGACTTTGTAATTGAATTTTAGCCTCGATGGCGTTGCTCTCGCTCAATCGGGTGCAAACGAGCAACATCCATTTCGTCAGTGGATCATACTGAACGATGGGTTGTCCATGATTTTAAGATGGATTGATTGATTTTCGCTGAGTATTCAATTTTAGATGTTACTGTTGTGGCATCGATCGACAGCAGTAATGCACTTGCTATGTGGAAATGGTGTTGTGTATCTTTTTGAGTCCTCGTTCTATTTTGATGATCACAACACGTACATTTAGAAACTGCATCGATCGGTAGCTGGAGTCTATTGGATTTACAACCGAGTTCAACCTTGGGTTCTACTTACCCTTCAAGTTTAGCCTGCAGTTTATCACTCTCACTAGTTGGGGCTTTATCCACTGAACTGTAAATGCATTCATCATTGAATAGTCTTTGGTTTTATTGATTGCTCTCATCGATTTGAATGATATAAACCATGAAACATAAATACACGCTGATACTCAAGGACGATGCAGTTTAGCCTAGCACAACAACAACAACGATAGCTCGCAGTACTTTATTCATCTTATTGAGTAGTCTTTCCACTCATTGCCCTTTTTGGGGCTTGTCGTCTTAGGCTGGGCCACGCTTTGGACCATCATGTAGTCAAGAAATCTGCCATGTCTACAGAGATTATATGGAGTAATGGCTAAGACTGTCGTTTATTCTAATCGCCGAAGCAGTTGTCCGAGTTTGCAAATTGCAACGATAGCCCTAAAGTCTTTCATCATTGATAGACTAGGAGAAGAAGCCTATGCGTATTCTTCTACTGTACTCTTGAACTTCTCTGACTTTCTTCTTTGAGTAGTCTACAGTATATCCTAATCCAGTCCAGACTGATCTTGAAAGATGGTATTGCTGCCATTGAAAGGAGATCATCTTTGAGTAAGACAAGGATTTCTGCCATTGAAAGGAGATCATCCCTGAGTAAGACAAGGATTCCTGCCATTAAAAGGAGATCATCCCTGAGTAAGACAAGGATTTTGTGCATGGATCACAAGAGAAATGCAGGAAAAAAATTGCAGTTTGCTTAAGCCTATGCGTATTCTTCCACTGTACTCTTGTACTTCTCTGAGTAGTCTACAGTATATCCTAATCCAGTCCAGACTGATCTTGAAAGATGGTATTGCTGCCATTGAAAGGAGATCATCTTTGAGTAAGACAAGGATTTCTGCCATTAAAAGGAGATCATCCCTGAGTAAGACAAGGATTCCTGCCATTAAAAGGAGATCATCCCTGAGTAAGACAAGGATTCCTGCCATTAAAAGGAGATCATCCCTGAGTAAGACAAGGATTTTGTGCATGGATCACAAGAGAAATGCAGGAAAAAAATTGCAGTTTGCTTAAGCCTATGCGTATTCTTCTACTGTACTCTTGTACTTCTCTGAGTAGTCTACAGTATATCCTAATCCAGTCCAGACTGATCTTGAAAGATGGCATTCCTGCCATGAAAAGAAGAGAAATCCCTGAGTAAGACAAGGATTTCTGCCATTGAAAGGAAATCGTCCCTGAGTAAGACAAGGATTTTTGTGCATGGATGACAAGAGAAATAATTGCAATTAGCTTAAGCCTATGCGTATTCTTCTACTGTACTCTTGTACTTCTCTGAGTAGTCTACAGTATATCCTAATCCAGTCCAGACTGATCTTGAAAGATGGCATTTCTGCCATGAAAAGAAGAGAAATGCTAGAAAAAAATTGCAATTTGCTTGCAAGAGATCCAGGAAGAAAAGCAATGTGCAAAATAAAGTGTCAGTATTAGCCTCTTTTCAATAAGGGATTTCGTAGGAATAATACCCTTGTTTAAGTGACAGCTCATTTTGCACATGATAAGCGCAAGCATCGTCATGCTCTGACTGTGCCGGTGCAGACTCATACGACTTGCAGTAGTCGACGCCGGTATACAGCCACAATCGTATTACGCTATCACTCATTGGATACACTACCCTATCACAAGCCACGGCTTTCCTAGTCGGTCTGCAGTACCTGGACAACTGCAGTTTTGGATGTTGCTCGTTGCCAACAGCAAAAATGATTTGGCCCATCATGGGATGGACGATTATGGAAGCCTAGATTATCCTTCTACACTCTAGAAGGATAAGACTATCTTAAGCCTAGACTATCCTTCTCTATGATCTCTTTCTACTTTGACGTTGTATAACAGACAATCAATCACCATCATCCGCTGATAATGGTTCGAAAAAGTTGCCCCAATTGCCAGAGCAAGGTTAGTCCAAGGATTGCAATTGCGGCGTCTTTTAATTGAAAAATGAGAATAAAACGATGCCATATCCTTTTTTTTGGGGGGGGGGGAGGGAGGGAGTCAATTGAAATTATTCATTTCTATAAATGAGAATGATTCAATAATAACCTTGAAATGATATTATGATATGGAGATATGGAATAGGCATCATCGATTCAAATGTTGTTCATATACAGCAAGGAGAGGCAGAGAAAGCAAATCGTATCGTCCAAAAAGGGTTCTTGCTCAATACACAAGAGCAACATGGCTGGACATTGGAACTAACTAGTATGGCGTCAGCGCTATTACTGCTAGCTGGAAAATGAGCTAATGCAACTGGATAATTTCCTCTTGGCTTGCTCATTGGATATTCAATCCTTCATTAGACTAGCAGCTCCAAATCACTATTTACTATTTGGATAACAATAATACAGTAATACGTCATTGTCCATGATTGCGCAGACGACTACTTCTACTCTAATCCTTCAACGAATTGGCATTTCCATTGGCAACCCTATTTAAAAGGAGATACATCATCTCCAATAGCCAACCATGGGATAGAGTATCGCTTATAAAATGGGCCATCTTTGATGGAAAACACACAGGGAAAATCCATTTTATTTTATCGCCTTCCCGGATTGCTTTGCCTTCAATTTGGATAGTCTGTACAGTAGGATAGATGATGTCAGGGAAAATGCAATAGGCATAAACTGCAATTTCTTGGCCATCGTTGAAAGTCCAAATGGCCCCAATGTCCATTTCAAAAAAAAAGAAATTGCCTCTTCATAAATAGCAATGTCCTTCTATTTTAACATACAAACTCTATCATCCATTTTCATTCAAATTATAATTCATCATTAATCATTGAAATAATATTCTCATCCATACAAGCGTAAAGCAGTACAGCCAAATCGCTAGTCCAAAAAGAAAACAGGCAGTACCTACACCAACTATAGGATAAATCCTTTCCCCCCCCCCAAAAAAAAATGATATAATATCAAAAATGATCAATTTTAATGATAAATCGCTTTTACCGAACGATTTATAGACTACATCTACTGACACAAACTAGTGACATGATGTCTACCTTTGACAAATGCATTTCATTCATCGTAAATTATTATAATAGATACCTGAAAATTTTGATACAAATTGATTTCAAGATCCCGATCTCAAAATGACACCCAACATATTTACTCATACAATAAAATACAAGTTCGAGGAGAAGGACGCTATAAGTGGCGTTATATGATCGACCAATATCAACAACAATCATTTACAAGCTAACAACGATCGACAAATTCATTTTGACACAAGAGTAAAATGAAAAATAAAATGGATCATAATGATTTCTAATCATAACTTGAATGATCAAGCAGGAGGAGGTAAAATAAAAAATTACTCGTCCATTTATTCTTTCTGTAAAATATCTTAATATGGCATCAGCGATGACAAATAGTACAACCCATCATGGCAATCTCTCAGTTCGCTCTGAATATTCACTTATTTTGTGAAATTGTATTCTATTTCAATTCAAAATTTTCGCAATATGGTTAAGCCTTTTTTTTTCACATTGGAAAGTAAGAAGCAACATCATTCCGTTGCTTCTTACTATCCATATTCTTCAACAATCACCAAGAGGACTATCTAAATGGCACAATTTTATCACACTATTAATCTCATCACCTTCAATCATTCACTAATTTAGTCTTGAAAAGATACTAATCTCCTCATTCATAAATACTAATATTGAAAAAGCTTTCTTACTAAATGTAATCTGTACTAAAAGAAAAAATAGGACCACTAAAAAGTAGGATAAAATGACTAATTCATCCTCATCCAGCGTTTGAATAAGAAGTAGCTTATCCAAATTGCCTTGTTATTATTTTTATTCAAACAGATTTTGGGGATTATATTCTTAATTAGTAGGCGCACGTTAGTAATTCATATTCTGCACTCCTATGCAAATAACGATGGTAATAATATCCAAATGCCATTTTGGAATAGTCAAGATGACTACGTATTGAAAGTTGTACACTACTATACGAGTATCTTGTTACAGAGATACGGTAGTCCTGCATTTCATTCTTTATTCTTATTCTTAATGGACATTTAATAACTTTGATTACTTAATTACATTCACACGTCGAGAATTTACGCATACAGTAATTTTAGTAAAATGATTATGCATTCATTTCGATATTGTAGAGACAATCCTTTAAATGCATCATAACGTTATTACGGCTAACTCCAATTTATAAAGAGAATCATAAGCAAACCAAATGCACATGATGTAATCCTCCTATTAGAATAGAATTGGTTATCAAATATCTATGGCTAGATGGTATACAGTAGACTGTAAACTCTCCTTCAATGACACACTGACATTACTATGATAGTGCTGTTACAATTTAAAATTATGTATAAAGGGTTTACCAAATATAAAAAATCATCTCTCATACAACAGAATTTTAAATTAAATTATCAATTTTTCCTTACTTATATAAAATGATAATACACTATTACGAATGCTCTCCAGATGACATCCATGATAAATAATCAGTAGCATATCTCAAATTTGGTGACCATAATTTAATCAGCAGAGAACGTCGAAAGACACTACATTTTTAGCAGTGGACACGGAGACTATTTATGGATTATGAAACTCCTGTAATAAAGAACGTGGCTAAAAATTGATCATCTTATATTTTATAGGTGCCAATTGCAAGAAAGGTATGTCAGTGTGGTTATATCTTTATAGCTAATCGAAGCCGTCAAGAGAGCGAAGCACAAAATGGTAGGCATTCATTGAGAAAAGAATCCATTCAGCAGTATTGATCTTTATTTTGATTGTCCTTATTACAATCTCAAATGCTTACCTGTTAGAATAATAAAATAAAATAGATATAAAAATCATCATTAAACTTAAGTACTTACCATATATACGTGTACTACTCTGTAGCTATCGCTACAAGATCTCTCAACAATATACAAACAAGGAAAAAACTTACAAGAAAGCGTACCACGAGATACAATCTAAAAAAAATTGTACCGGTAAGTGTAACACATTACAAATATTGTCTCTATATCATTGATCATAATTTTTACCATGTCATATTTTAACATCATCAATTAATAAAATATTAGCCAAGGGAAAAAGTCGTTAAAAGTTCTAATAAGCCATTCACGAAACGACCAAAGATAAAAGTAGAGGATGGAATTAAAAGAGGACCTGGCAGACCAAGAAAAATACAACTGACAAACAGCGTAAGTGGCTTTGGTATTATTATACAGTATTTTGAAATGTTTAATTCACCGTTATTATCGATGCAATCATGCTTACACATTATTTGTCAAAAGTACATCCCTACCAACAAATCCATGTACTATTATTTTAGTCCTTTGTACATTTAAATACAGTAAAATATCGGCTTAATATTTTCTTGGCATAGATTCAAACTAATCAAGGTTATACCTCGAAAGCACCGAACACATCCAAAGTGTCAATCAATCATAATAACCTAGGCAATAATTCCAATGGTTTGATCTATAATACGAACAAAAGAAAAAGAGGTAGGCCAAAGGGATCCAAAAATAAGTCCAGAATTATCTATTCAATACCAACCTATAAAGAGAACAAACTGTCCTATCCACTTATGGATAAACCAATACGCTTAAATATTCCAAAGGAAAAATCGATGTATATCTTAGCTGAAATTAATCGAAAGATACAATCACAAAACGCTCCTTGGAAGATATAATCAATATTTACATCAATGAAAGATGCTACTAAAATTCTTGGAAATTTTAATATAAACTGTCAACTGCTAAACTTCAACACCAACATCATGAAATAATAATCTAGTAGTAGTTAACATCAGAAAAATTCTATCATGAAGTATATATTGGCGTAGTACAGTACTTCCGGTACCTAGTTAAGGTTGCACTTTTTCATGAAAAGTACTCTGGTTGTTCTAATGCATGCTGTGGAAAATTGAATGTGGTTTCACAGATATCTTGATTGATTTACAAATTTTCTTCAATAATATATACTATATAGTAGTTCAAATTATATCTTTATATCATGTATTTATGCTATAAGACTATTACTTCAAATCCTGTAACACTGATTTGACCTTCTAATTTTGAAATTTAAACGGATATACTTAATCTGCGTGACTTGGCCTTAGACATTATTACTATTGTAAAATTTAAAATGAAAATGATCACATACCTACGAGGACAACATTTAAAGTATAACAGTATAGAATTCATTTTTGATACGATATCTCGTCACATTATTAAGATGGTATTATTAACTGAACTAATATTATTGAAACGAATTAATAAATGATTCAGAATTACAGTTGCCATGGTACGTTTAAATAGTGTCCTGAATTATATAGATTCCTCACTAGTTGAAGAGAATATTGCACTTAATACCTTTTTATTATTAAAATGAGCTGCAACAGATCAGTAATACATACAGAAACATTGTACAACAGTCCACGAAAATTACCATATAATTATAAAGATTCTTAACATCGACTACTTACTAAAAAGTTGCGCTGCTCAAGCTATTTATTTCTTACAAAAGTCCTATAGCATACACGCATAGATATAGCGTAGTCTATTATGCTGTATTTATAGCCAGATAAGATAAGTTAATGCCTTATGACAATAGCAATTTACAGGGTCTACGTGAGCAAATGCTACTTAAATTTCGCTTATAATATAAATATAGTCATTAATATAGATATTAATAGTACAAATTTTATCATGCAGAAAAGAGTCTGCAGTCTATCTTAACCTAATACTATCCTTAATAGAGATCGGACGGAACATGACGGTTTAGCAATACTTCCCACGACTTCGGCATAATCCACGGAGCTATAAATTCAAAGATACAGCAATCAATATACGTACATATGATATTGAGCAACGACCGATATCGATAACAGATATTTGTGTCAAAATTTAGCAATATACGCATATTGTATATTATTCAAGCTGATCATTGCATACCAAGTAATCCTTGTTCCGGATGGACAGAAGATTGTTGTTGATGATGCTATCAAGAAATGAAAAACAGACATTGCTATAACCTTTACATATGCAATAGTATATCAGTGCTATAGTACTATTAGCAGATAATAGCAAATGATCATTTTTTACCGGTAGAAACTGTAGCCAATCATTGAGATGTGAATCCAATCGCAACGCCATCTCAATAGCATTTCCTTCGGTGCATAGTGATATTATTACAATTAAAGGAATATTTTCTTTGTTACTAGAGTATAGAAAGCATGATCACAAGAGAGAAATATTAATCATTGAATGGTTGATGTTATAATTTTATAAGGCAGCGTACAATACGTCATAACATACCATTCAAGAAAAAATTTCTTAGCAAACCCTCCGCCAGCTATAAGAACTGTATCACTTTGATCTACAACACCATCTAATTTTGATATAAAAGTTACTTAAATTAGACATCTGATATTAAAATTAGCTATTTAGGATGAAATTCTCAGAAAAAGCATTTTACTGTTAGAACTATACTGAGTATATTTTAGTTAATATTTTATAATTTTATGAGTAATGAAATCTATTATCAAATAGTTTCTATTCTACTTGCCGATAGTTGATGGGCATTCTTCTAATCCTACCCAGGAGCAATTGTTCTCTAACCGATCTCTTAATTCACAAGCTGCACGACTTGTCAAATATCTAAATCCACTGTAAAGAAACATTGTAACCTACTTAAGTATTCCACGCCCAGAAATATCTTTTAAATTTTTATCAATATTGTCAGTAACATACGCGCAAATTTAAAAAGGCTTCAAATATGACTAGTCTGAATTTTATCTACTCTTTGGAACAAAGTATCGTGTTCATATATGAAGTTACAGGGTTATCAAACCTTCCTATACTGGTGTTAATTTTTTCGTGAATGTAACAGCTCGTAGCAAGAACAACGCGATGGAAACCCTTCTGACTAATCCACTTTACAAGGTCAGCACAAAATGTCGCGGCACCACCCTAAAATTTGTTTTGTACACCAAAATTAATTTCTTGACATAATTATTGAAATTACCTTTCCAACATATATCAACACATTCTACAGCATCATTTGCCACAAATGTAAAATTACACAACCCCGACACCAAGATAATGTTACTTCGTAACGAGGACCATTTAGATCTTAAAATATATGTCTTAAAATGGATTCGTATCCATCTAACATGATGTATTAACTTCACCTCTTTAATTCATACGACATCATCAATATTGAATATTGTACAATACTATACGAAATCTAGTGAATATTTCTCTCTTTATACGTTACTGTAATAATAATATAGAGATCATCCATGTGACGCATATAATTAATAAACTTACCGAAATAACTGGAGAGCGAATTTGCATAAACACATATTTTTGCGTACGAGACATGTAAACTATGGAAATGGATAAGAACAGAGTAGACATATTATAATTAGTAAACACGTTATAATATAGTAGGTAAATTTAATATATAGCCGTATGTTACAATAGATCATACAAGATCCAACAGTACCACGAATTAAAAGCAGCGCTGCATCATCACCTCGCAATACTTGTACGATATACGGTACTTAATTAGTTTTAATCTTTACTATGTGCTATATGAATGACACAGTTAATCCCGGTGCTTAAGGCATTTATTATTTGGTTTATTCTACTTATGATAGTGTTTTCCGTGATTGCAGCTATTGCACGCAAATAAAATCTATTTAATAAAGCAACTTGATTTCATTCAACTTATACGAGTATTTACCGAGATACACAGTTAGCTAAAATGGTATACAATGTATACTGATGCTAGAATCCCTGCTGATACTCGTATAACTGAAAGTTGGCCTGTATCAATCGCATTATACGTTCATATATTTTTCCTTCTCAAACAATCTGTAATGCATAATTGAATTGATTTACCTTGGGAAGGCGTTAGTAACTGGTTATGGCAATTCTTATTATCTTGCTGATTACAGGATGTATCATGGCCAACCACAGGTAATAAACAAGAATGATGCCAATACCCAATCAGTTGACAGTCCATGGTAGAAATCAGTAAATCCACAGCTAACTGGCCAACATTTTGTACTGAGGATGAAGGCTATAAGATAGAAGTAATGCTCAGAAGATAGAACTCAAATATAGCGAAAATGATTGAGTTACAACATCATGCATTTATTCCCAAGAGGGAATGAAGAGTAAATTTTGCTATTGCCTACATAAAGTTAATAACTGATCACCATATCGTGCAGTATATTATAATTATAATGTCAACAAGGACGACTTAATCGGCATTAAGAATACGGGAAAACTCAACAATCAATCGGGTTTTGTCGGATGCCTGAAGCAGGCTATCGACTTTCTCATCATGTTTCATTTATTACTTAAATAGAATTCTTAGCGCATTACTTTATGATGATTGTATGATATCCGTAATTTTGCATCAAAATTGTATCCAATTTCATACAGCAATGATGGAATAAAGTAAATCTTTCTACCATCGTGCTTTGGCTGCAAAATTCTTGCGTACGTGTCGTTACGTCAGCAAAACAACAAAGAATTATGCTGAATCAAAAATAATAATACTACATGTAGTATAGGGAAAACCATTACATTGCTTCTATTTCGTGATCTAGAACAATTCCCTTGATAGCCTTTGCTTAATGCTGACTATACCCAATACTAGCTTGATCAAGATAGATTATTCAATTTGTTCATCCTTAAATACGGTCGTGGCAGGTAAAAGTCAGAGAGCACTAGTTTGCCGTAAATAAGTCAGTTCATGTTGTACGAGAGTATTTCTAAAAATCCAAGTATAGGGCGATCGATTACTTATGGCATTCGATGCAGTGTAAATTAAGCAAACTAAAACTATCTATTGATTCTAATGTAATTGTATAATGCAACTGATGAAGTTTGCACTTGAAAGTAGATAAAAACGAAAAAAGAGTTCGATAGAAATATTAATAACACCCATGTTATTTTTCCTCCGTGATTAATTTAACCTTCCAAGAATTTACATTACATCCGTAGTCAAAAAGTAACACTAATCTTGACATATCGTAGACATTATACAAGTATAATCTAGTTACCATCAACATCTACAATCTAAATTTTACCAAGATTAGGGTATATTGAGAGCAATTTGGAAGATCAACGGAGTCACAAGGTATAAACATCGCCAATCAAGGATATCAGCAGCTGGGAGACATTAAATGACAGGAAACTTGTTGGAGAAGAAACAGTCCTTGAACTACGCGTGCGCTGATCAAAATCATTAATTTAATGCTGGGTCCATAGAAGTACCTCTATGGCTCAGTCAGCACTAAGCACCAGTAGTAGAAAGGTATCTACCATTTTCTAGTAGTGGTATAGTACTTTTGCAGCAGTACTGCACGAGTATATTTCCAAAAATTAGCGCATTAATGCATTTGTTAAAATTATGAATGTTAAATCAACCAAAAGACGCTGCTAGAAACTACCAATATTAAAGCAAGGCGTAGCTTTTAAAGCCTTTTATGAGTACTGTACATAACAGAGTATGTTGAGACAGTTGAATTGCGATGCGATAAAGAGAACCTTGTAGCATCTTGAGTATTATTTTTATTTAAATAATTACATCATTATAATTACAATCAATCATATATGCTTATGATCCCTAATTCCCTATCATATACTAAGTACTATATTAACAGTTAATCCAAAAATTAATTTATTCTACGTTATCGATCGAATATCTTGCCTATCCAGGAACCTATCGGTTAACTTGTTTGTAATTTATTGCTTTTGCGCAGATTATCTTCCCGTTTATTGCATGCTTACCTAGAAACTGACAAGATGTTGCACTAAATGATAGGTGATGAAGAATGTAGCGTATATAGTACGTGTACAGCATGGTACAGGATAATTTCGGAAAAATATCTAAATTATCTTTTCCCCGCTACTCATGCAATACTGGATTATTTATCACTTTAGACGTCAAAGAGTTGATGTCCTAGTAGTAATTTTACTATGATAACTGATTATATTACCATAACTCTAGCGATAGCTTACATGGGTTAGAAATTTGACTAGTAATGACTAAAACATAGACGTACGAGTATCTGTATAAAAAACATTCACTGCTAGTAAATTGCCTCAGAATCCGTATATATGTTTGCAAGTAGGACAGTCATATACGTTGGTGTACAGTAACTTCGTCAGATAAGCAAACATTTTACTCTATGTAATATATAAAATTTTTAATCCAACAATATGCACATTAAGGTTATAATAATTTTAACGAACATTAGTTATACAATCTACTTGTTTTTTCATCAACAAATTACACGATAGAAAATGGCTTATGTTTAGCCTGTAGACTATAACTCAATGACGATATAGAGGTGTAAAATCGATCCAATGGCTTGGTTGTGAAAAGACGGTATTATTTGATCTAGAAAAATTTTAAACATGACGTTCCGAAATACGTATATCAAAAGCGCCGATAGCAAATAGGATAAATCTATCAACATTTAAGTCTGCAACAATACCAACAACATTTCATATTCATAAAGAGTGCTTGACTGTGATTATGATAAGCGTTCGTAACAGTCATGTAAACATAATTATGACGTACAGCTTACAACTATACGAACCACAGATTCGCTAGTATTCCATTTATAGTACTAGTAGAAATTCTCAAAATCAAGGTCTATTATACTATACGTGTATGGTATAAGGAAAACAAACTAAAAATTAGTAACTTATGGTTCGAACCAGCTATCTTCGCGGGAGACTTATATCTACATATATCTAGTGATCGGTGATTATTGCGCTGGTCTTGTAAGTTTCACAGTAATCTACAATTAGGCAAAGCAATCGCAAGAAATTATCTTATTTTAGTTATTTCAATATACGTAAGTACTTAGCAATTGTAGGCTTTTGACAAACCTATAAAATTTACTGCGGGATCATCTTTATTCTGACTTTGTCGCAGCGAAATACAAACGTCGCTTTTTAGTAACGGCAAGAATAATTCAATAAAAATTGGCGTGTAAGGAGGACTTATGATATCAAGCACCTAAAAACAACAACATAAAAAATAAATCAATTACTCCATTTTATAAGTCTACACTCACACAGATGATGAATTATTGATTATTTACCCCAGAAACAAAATTTCGAATAAGTGAATTGTCCATCGAGTTGGTATCCAGACATTTCCTGATATAATTCAGTACAGGGACTACATAACCTCGACTCACTAAATGGACCATGCATTCGATAATGTGTCTTTTAAATCGGAGCTAAATAACGTTTAATAATTATAACATATTAAACTTAAGTATTTATGTATTGAAATTATATCAATAGACAACAATAGACTTACAATCAACATTATATCGCCATTATTGTATTCATATTCTAAAAATTTTATGAGTAAGTTAAAAGTTGTTGGATGCTGTAATGGATGATGCGTGCAAATCTAGAAATTAAAAGACCAATGATCAGACAATTTAAAAGTTAAAATGAATATTTGCAGATATTGCTCACTTCGTCCAAAATTGCTAGGTATATTAATGCCGTAGAATCGCCCATATAGTTGAAAAAGCTTGACGAAGATACGATGCAATCCACCCAATTAATTAATCCTCTACCAACTACTGGATATCTGCAAATGTCATTAGCGTCCGTAAATACTATTTTAATAGCGTAATGCTATGTATCGTACAATAATACTTTACGTATGGTAATATACAATTAGCTACCTAATATACTGATACAGATTTCCAATCTCTGATAAAAGATAATTGGAAGATCGACAATCTGCATGACTAATTATGTCCAACGTACGGCCGATAACGTTGGTAGTACTTTTCAAGTCATCAGTATTCAATAACGTTTGAGTCTATTATGAACAATAGAAATGTCTTAAATTTAAGTTGTTGAGACATTGATCACAGATATATCTATTTTGATTACCTCTGAGATTGTTTCAACAACACTAACGGCGTAAGCTAGAAGAAAACATAACTTTGATTTCAAGTCTGCATCTATCTTGTCATCAGGATCAAAAAGGCGCTTAATCAACAAATCTGTAAAGATACGTCGTCACTGTCAGTATACATAAAGAAATGATAAGGAAGTATTGAGAATAGCTTTTTAAAGAGCAAACCTAAAAAACGTGGATGTCTTATGATTTCTATTGGAGGTGGTTCATCTCCCGAATAGACTTCATACAACTGCAAATAAATTAATAGAACATTTGTAAGTGCATATTGCGGTAAAATTTTTAATCATATATATATAAATATAGCATATGGACAATTTACCATACGTAAACAGATTGGTACGAATATCAATAAATTAATCTCTTTGGTTATTATTACCGTAGCTACATCCGTGGAATCCAAGGCATTTCGAGAAAATATATTGTTAACAGCTGCATTGACATTAGTATATTGGTATACGCCGTTAACGATCATTGCGATATCACTGACTGCTAGTCCTCTGTAAAAATATGACATAGCTACATTATTTTTTTGTATGTACCTTTTTGATTGTAAAACGTCATCATCCGTATGTATAAGTTCGATACACATTGTATACCTTACATTACAGATATGATTACCTGGATATAGCACCACTTTCTATTTTTTGCATCAAAAATCGAATTAAATGACTGTTCTCAATATCATAGAGGAGTATTCTTAAGAAAAATTGGCAACATAGATAACCATGTTCTGTGTGGCAAGCCATATTCTAATCACAGCACAAAAATATAGAAAAAATTAACGTCAAGATAACTAATAAATTTTTCATAGTCTACACTTACAATCATATTATCAACATCTGCAGAAGATGTAGTAGGCCCCTTAGCAATAACACTATGGACACATGACTGTAATTGTCGAGTAAATAATTCCAAGTGCTGGCAAACTGTTGAAATGTTGTTTATGTCGTCTTGATAGCCGGCATCAGAAATCAACTGCATCAATAAGATGAAATATAGTAAATATTAAGGATTGGACAATTTAATCTTTCTTCTCACTCCAATATCCTAGTCATATCGTCATACCCTAACTGCGAATTTACACACTAAACAATCTGGAAATCGTTCAGCTAAGCAATAGAACAAATTACGCCAAAACGGTTGGGCTATCATATCTTGTAACCAAGTAACATTCTAGAACGAATTTTTGATTAGTTTGATAGTTTAAAGAATTTACTATCGATCAAGTGTTATGATTAAACAGATTAAAGTAATTGTTGTCAAAATTTTGACTATCACAAGAGTGTAATTCATTTCCAAACCTTTCCTTCGCCAATAAAAAGAGAATCTGCTTTAGCAGGATCAAATTTACTTATTACCACCTCTCGCAAATGCTCCACGCAGGTCCGATTTATAGTTTCGTCTTTGACTCCTTCAGTTATGAGAGTAATTTGATATTAATATTAAAATAACATAATATAAGACTACAATATATGAGATAACTTGAAGTTTATAGAGATAGTATGAGTTAACCAATTCCTCAATAAATTATTATTGTAAAACCATATCATATGGATCTGCAATACCCACAGATTTTTCAGTAACTGAATATTACAGAACTTATATACAGAATAAATTTAAAGATTGCATCACGTATCTTTCAGAAATACAACAATCAGAAAGTTAAAATGCTTTAACTTGCAGCGATAGTAGACATGCAGTAGTAGGAGCAACAGTGCATAATACTGTATATTCAAGTAGGTAATTAGGTAGATTTAGTCCTATCAATACACTTATATTTCGCGTACAATAGTACAGTCTATCATCTAGCATAAACCAGCTCGCGTTGACAGTTAGATACAGCAATTAGCGCTATTTGTTACCTAAATCCTGCAGCCATTTGATGTAAGCATTGGCAACTTCTCCTTCACCAATGTAGTGATCAGATAATAACTGCACCAGTTCTTCAGGTGTTCCGCCAGCTTTAATATATCTTGATTATAATTCATTATACAAAAAAAAGGTAAGTTAATAGTGAGTATGGAAGCAATAACATAAATACAGTTGTTAAGTTGTACTGATCATTTCCATCAAAGAATGAGGAATGACTTGCAATCCAAGTTATAGACACACATAACTGTATAATTAACAACGCTATGCTAGGTGATAATTGGCACTATACACGTTAGTAAATCATGTAGAATTGTGCATAGTTGTCAGGACAAAGAGTTATGTCAGCTAAAGACTATTAGAAAAGTAGTCGGTGTGTTTTACTTGGAAGCAGTAAGCACTTGAATCGATCAACAGAAGTTTTTCAATTTTCTTTCTATTTAGTTATTTATAGGAATCGCTAACAGCAAAATATTTGTCATGCAATCAATTCTGCCTAGATGTGTTACAATAAAGAGAAGTGATTTAAGCCTAAGAAGACGGAGGAAGTGAACAATTTGGACGGTATTGCATTAATTGTGCATGTCTGCTGCAATCTGCAAACTAAGAGTCCAGTGTATAGCAATGCCTATTGCAGAGTTCAGTAGTTGACTACTCGTTTATACTGCAGCGGTTGATAGCCAATGTGAGCAAAAAAATGAAAATAATATTGCTCAAGGGGAGATTACTAACTTTCGAATATGTACAATAAGATCCGATTCCATAACAGAGTCGTCATTGGAGAATTTACGTTTGCATTCCTCAATAACAGTCATGGTGTCTTCATCGTCGGCATTGTGGTCATTATCTGGTTGTTCTTCCTGTACAATCACGTTCATTGACATGATACATGAGTAAAATGATCCATGATCAACAAGTACCATAGCGTATAAATGGAATCATTGTTATTCTAGGCAATGAAAGTATGCTAAGAACTTGAATTAAAATGGTTGGCAATGTCATCAGTACCTGAAAATCGCCTGCGTTATAGTAGGATTCATATTCGTTATCACTGAGATCTTCCGTATCCATATTTCTTCCACCTCATTCACTCCGCAGCAAGTAGTACTTTACGACCCAATCAGTCTACAAATCAATTTTGGACAAGATTACGATAGCCAATTTTTGGTTTATATGATTACAGTAACCACTGGACTGTGTGGCCAATGTTGTATGCTCTCTCTTCCACACGCAATATCGATTTCTAATCACATTTTAAGAGTTGAAATGATTGAAACGCTCCTCTTTCTGTGGCCAACTTTTACATTTCTGGTCGGCAGTTTACGATACTGCAGGTAGTGTAGAGTAGAATACAGTAGGTCCAGTCCAGTCTATAGTCTTTGTTTTCACTTGACGCATTTTCATGGATTTACTAGCAGACTTGGACTGGATTGACCATCCTTGGACGGACAGATATTTTCGGTCTCCTCTCGTCAAAATGTAGCAAACACGTTGTTGAAGGTAGTGCTTTAGTAGGCAGACAGTCGATTTGGAGTGAGTGATGTTGTCTCAATCAAAGGTTGAGTAATACCAAGAGTCCTTGGTAATATTAGCCATCCATTGATCGAATTGGATTGTCTGTTACAAAGTTCTGCTTGAAAAGAGTTGTAAAAGATGATAGACGCTATTTCAATTTGTACCCGTGGATATGGAAAACAGACATGGAAGATCCATCCCTACTCCGTGGTCATTTTCAATATGGAAGGCATCCTTTGTTTGGTAGCGTCCGTCTGTCTGGGCGAGGATGGTCTTGATGGTACGCATGACACGGAAGAAGAAAATCGATGCCTGTGCAACGGCACACTATCGTCTTCTTCTAGTCTACAGACCAGGACTCAAAGTACAGTAGTAGACAGTACGGTCCAGTGGAGTCCTGGACTCGGTTGACACTTTGTGCGATCGTCGCTGTCCGCGGCTCAGTGCCGATGGGGGGTGTCACGTCAGCAGATAGCACACTACAGTAGCCAGTGTAACGGCACACTATCGTCTTCTAGTTGACTTTGTACACATTATCGTCTTCTAGTTGACTTTGTACACATTATCGTCTTCTAATTGACTTCGTACACACTATCGTCTTCTAGTTGACTTTGTACACACTATCGTCTTCTACAGTACAGTAGTTGACTTTGTACAGACCAGGACTCAAAGTACAGTAGTAGACAGTACTGTACAGTCCAGTGTAGTCCTGGACTGAGTTGACTTCTAGTTTACTTGGTGCACACTACCGTCTTCTAGTTTGTATTGTACTGTACAGGCCAGGACTCGAAGTACCGTAGTAGCCGTACTGTACTGTACAGTACACTGTACAGTACAGTAGTGGGGTTACAATACACTACAGTGGACAGTAGTCCTGGACTCGGTTGACTCTTTGTGCGATCGTCACTGTCCGCGGCTCAGTGCCGATGAGGGTGTCACGTCAGCAGATAGCACACTACAGTAGCCTGTGCAACGGCACACTATCGTCTTCTAGTTGACTTTGTACACACTATCGTCTTCTATAGTAGACGACTTTGTACAGTCCAGTGTAGTCCTGGACTGAGTTGACTTCTAGTTTACTGTACTGTACTTGGTGCACACTATCGTCTTCTAGTTTGTACTGTACTGTAGTAGCCGTACTGTACACAGTACAGTAGTCCTGGACTCCGTTGACTCTCTGTGCGATCGTCGCTGTCCGCGCTTCAGTGCCAATGGGGGTGTCACGTCAGCAGATAGCACACTACAGTAGTGTATGACGCACAATAATAGCGTCAATAGCAGCGGAAATGACTTGACTGTCAGAGTCGACGCGACCTACCACGTACTGTATGTACAGTATGGACGCGCTGTATGACACAGTAATAGCGTCAGTAGCAGCGGAAATGACTTGACTGTCGGAGTCGACGTGACCTACAGTATGCCTGACTGCCGTAAATAAATAAGTAAATAAATAAAGAACATCGGACTTCGGACATACGTACGGCAAAAGGTAAACCACTGGTCAAACTACTTTAGCTAGCAATTGAAGAGTGTCCATCGATTAATATACTGTCATTAGTCCAGGTAAACTATCCAATTTTTGGATGCTGATGCAGATCATTGCAGTCAACAGCATCTTGAATAGCTAGGAAATCCCCTCAAAGTCTAACTATGGCAAGGAAAAAATGGAAGGTTATCGCTCTATCATGTCGTAAAGGCTATCATACACAAGCTTTCCAGAAAGGTAAAGTTACTGCAATGCATGGCTATGATTCAATTGGAGTCGTGACAAAGAAAGAGCTTGGTAGATAGTCCGATAGCTCCATAGTCCATTATCACACACACATACACATAAAAGAAATTTTAAAAGCCTCAGGTCATGTTGTACACTCGTATCTTGCAATTCAACTGGCTATTTTATCACCGTATCCTAGTGGAACGTCTTGAAATGATCAATGGCCTTATCCAATCATCAATACATCCTACTAGCACCAACCATCAGTTATTTGAATTCTAAAGTTGGAAAACCCCAATATGGGATTACTGCATATCTCGTAGTTAGTCGTCGTCGACTAAATTGATCAAAAAATGATAGAAAGCATACATTAACCAACTGAATGCATAAACTCCATTTATATTCGCGATACAGGGTCTAAAAGGAGCCATACCTACCATGTCGTACTACCGTATACTCTCGTAGTTTCTTGCTGAAATCGCCGTTGACCACAGCAAGAACTACAGTATCGAAAATCCTACAAGTACTGTCGCCTATCATGTCGTACATTAGTAGTCTATTATCAAGTAAAGTTGTCGCAGACAGTGATACAAAATTAAGATTCTAGAAAATGATCGGATCAGTTGATCCAAATATCAATCAACTCCTAGCCGATAAACCCCCTCAAAAAGTGACAACGCCTACTATACGTACTATACTCACTATTGACGACATGACTTTAGACTGATAGTTAGTTTGTATTACAAAAGAAATACAATTATTCAATATGGCGATCAAAAGTAATCAAAATATCAACAACCAATTGCTCAACCTTAGACTGATCTGTCTGCAACCAAATTAAAAGTCCATTTTTTCGCAATCTAAAGACATCATTTAAGGCAACGCTATAGGTGAACATCTTTCAACCATTTTACAGGGCTCGCTACACCTGGGTACGAGTGGAGTGCTAAAACGACCATCACTACTCTAACGAGTCTAGCATTAATGAATTAATTATTTACTCTATTCCTCCCTATCCATTCTATTCGAACCAGTCATGATCTAAATAGAATTTTTAAAATGTATCGACTCGTATTATGTCATATACTAGTAGTTTATGACAAGGTCATGATTGACTATACTCATGCAAAATGTTGAAAATAAATCCATTTGCCCTCTATCTACATTCCATCACTTACAAATGTTGATATTGATCTACCCTTGTAGAGCTGGAGATACGCCAATCAAAAGGCTTGATCGATCCCAATGTCTTGTTACTGACAGTCGAAGATCCAGACACTCGAATTGGAAGTGGTGGTGCAACAATTAATACTATCTTGGTTGTAGCTGAACATTTGAGTTCATTAGCTGGCCATACGGTAAAAATTGCAAATAGCAATAACATTAACTTTCGATAAAGCAACGTCCTCATAACTTACTGTAGACGTACGAGTAGATTAGTTATCATTGGACATATCCGCCCTATCTAATTATCCAAGTAGATTGATTGCGATCTCTATACCGATCATCCTTCTAATAATTCTTATTTTCTTTCTCTCTAGGTCGTTAACCCCGATGTACTGGCTAATGCTGATATTCTAATCCTCCTAATGGTAAATATTATTCAATACTATTAAAGATACTTGCACTTCCATTGATTGGTACCATTGTAATAAATTGAACTGTAATTGTGTAATACAGTAAATACCCACCAAAAAAATTTATTAAATTTTCCATATGCTTTGGGCTTGCAATATGATAATCCACTCAAATCTGATTTGTAATAGGGTAGAAATTATTTATTTGATCCTTGCGGACGTGCATTTACTACTATGCCGGCTATGTACAGTGGAGCTCATCATATTACTGGATCCGATACAGAAAATATAGCGTGCAATATTGACTTTATTATCTATACTCTTACCAACGTAGTAAGTCGCTGACGATATTGAGCAGCATGATAGGCTCTGCATCTGCACCATTTTTAGCAAGCTGTACAATTTTTCTGTACATATTGTTCTTTTTGCTTTGACTGAATGATGATAAATCATACTCTCGTTAGTAAGGCAGTTTATGTTAAAATAACTTCTTAACGTGTAGTAGCTAGGCATTAATGCTTATATACTGTATAATTGTACCTATGTGAATAAAGCACAATTTACAGTCCACTCTTACCTTATTAGTTATATTCATATTTCTTTACTAATGGTATATCAAGATGAATTTAATGTATTGCCTATTTTACACTTATATTACTCGTAAGAAACGTATTAATATGCAATCGGATAATCTATCCTTCGTCTAGTAGTCTATGTGTATATCTACATTGAGAATTTTCAATCTCGCTTTATATTAAAATGCTAACATGATTGGAGTATAATACGAGTACTACACAGTACTGTACTGAAAATCTTGTGCGTATTCCATATCAGATTTGCCCTAATTCACCTCCTGGCGTTTGGGTGTGCAGTACAGACATGCTATTAAGTATTCCATCAGAAAAAGGTATTGCAGATAGAACCAATTTAACTTGATATAATATCACTGTGCGTACATGTACACGTATTTTGTTTCAGTCAAAGATGCGTATAATCAATTTATTATCCAATGTTTATTCTAGCCATTGACATCACTTTTCCAAAACACTGGAAGGGAGTTAGTTTGATAACTGTTCCAGCTTCTGTTGATTATGCAACATTGCATGGAGCCTGTAAAGTAAATCATGATGTAAGCTATTCATCATTGTACTCGTACCTCCAAACTGTTGATTTTTATCGCTTACCGCTAAAATTAATTCATACGATAGAGATTGGACAACAGCTATCATATTGATAAACGTTCCAGGCTTGCTTATATAGTTTACTTTAAAATCGATTCTAGCTGTCGTACTCTTAAAGCTACTGTTTTAATTGAACTGAATTTGGATTAAAATTCTATTCGAAGGATACTGTTGACGATATCTTTTACCAAAGTTCACCAGATAATCTGGAATCTTGCCTTTTGAATAACGGTCATCAAGTACCATTGGTAATAATGACCTTGTAGACTTATTGATCTACTTTTGTTATGAATTATAAATGGAATTGTATTGCTTAATGTTATCATATAGGTTTCTGGTTTATTGTTTATGTGTCCAAATACCGCTACTAAACTTTTGCAATTTCATGTGAAACCCCCTATTGATGCTTGCACTTATATGGGTATTGATAGCGGATCACTACCAATTAAAGTAAGCATTCCACCTGCTGCAATAAGCAACTTACACTTGTTACTGTCATTGAACTAAATGCTATATATGCCACTGTTCAACGTAAAATCTCGATTTAATAGAGTATTTAAAATTGATATATTTTAGCTTTCCTTATTCTTCGATATTTTATTGCCTATGGCCAATAACGTCTCTCGTGAAAATTTTGTAACTGGAAATCGTAGCGGCTCATATGGCAACAAAGACGATAGCCTGTTGCTGCCTGAAGATAAAGCGTTAATGGAACATGCTCGCTCTGTTTTATACGATGAATTGCATCAAATTCGAATTAGATCAAGTATAGCTCATACACTGTCTAACAGATAGCGTAATGATAACATGAACGCATATGCATCGTGTATGCCTACCTTTTTTCAACTATTACATAAAATTTAACGTCATATCTGTGTGTAATGCAAGAAGTACTGCAGTACTTAAATATTTACATTTTCAAATTAAAAATGTATTTTTCAGTTGATAATTGAACTAAATCAATCGTAATCCTTAGGTATACTCGTCATATGATCAAAAGGGATCAGTCATATTTTTCCTTTATTTGTAGTACTCATCACGGAAGGGATCCATAATTACATGTCTACGAGTGTTGCGTCCGATTTTCAAAATCAAATATTAAATTGCCCTCTCAGGCTTGGTACAAACGGTGTTAAAAATTTTCAATGGCAGAACAGAACTCATTGCTACACCGAAGTAAATAGATGATTTTTCATGATTAATTTACAACTGCAAATTAACACTTGATTATTTTTCTTCAGTCTGGATGTGAAGTTCCTATATCTACAATCATTATCAATAGCAGTATTGATAGCGAAATTGATATTGGAAAAAATTGTGTTGTTGCTCATTGTATCCTTAAAGTAAGGCCGATATTAATTAATTAGTAATTGTCTTATATTCTCAGCAATTTGCAACATCATTACACCATTATTAACTTTTAGAACAGCCTAAAAATTGGTAATAGATGCATTTTATCGGGGTTGTTACCCATAGAATTTGAAGTAAGATATTCTATCACTTTGCTTTATTATCTTGTAAATTTAAAACAGTCTGCTATACTGATCTAATGACATATATTTGTGGATATCGAAGCTCGATAAAGTTATAACAGAGCCCGTTGTTATACCGGATAAAAGTGTCATGTTAAATTTTATAATTTCTATCGGCGATAATGTATCTCGTCGAATCACTACCGTTTTTGGCTTGGATGATAATCTTATGGTGAGCATGTTTGAGTGGATAGTAGAGGTAGACTGAATTAATCTAACTGTGTTATTTTAAAAACTCATTTATTCAAATACAGTTATCGGTCGATAATCAAAAAAGCAGCTTTTGTAATAAGCCGTGGTCTGCATTCTTTGAAAGGACAGGCATTGATAGTTCAGATTTATGGCAACAGCATTTGGTAACGATACGATTATATAATAACTTTTAAAAATTGATATCTAGATGAGTAAGCATGTTACCAGTAGATCTTATTGTGCGGACTCATCTCCATTTTCGTTCTTGACCTTATAGCCATCGTCTAAGCGTAGTCTCTTCAACGCAAAGCTATATCCAGTCTTTAACCATATCCAAAAGATTGAAACTGAGGATATTTTATGGCTGTTAGGAACTCACAATTCTGCTGAGGCTTTAGAAAAGTAATCAAAACATTGTTTCTGCTTTTATCATATAAAAATGTTTATATCATATTGCTTAATATTGTACGATAAATAACTAGATGGAGACTATCTTGGAGACTTTCTTTAAAAGAAATCATGGCTATGGTCGATATTGCAGCTGTATTCGATTATAGAAGGTGGGATTGATACAGTTGTATTAATTAGAAGACGATCTATGTATTTTTTAAACTAAGTAACTATTAATTTGGGATCACAGAAAACTATACTTTGAAATTGGTGAAAAAAATGTCAAGGTTGCTTTATCGAATGGAGAGGATACCTGCTTTCTTCCATACTTTCAAAGTTGTGCTACAGAGGATTACCATAACATATTATGCACTATTGATAAAGGTAAACTAATTATTTAATAATCAAGTATAATTAAAGCTCTTCATTTTTTCTGTCGTTAAATAATTTTTTACTTCTCGCAGTCGCCTGCGAAGCGAGCTCTCTAGCTGTTGCAGCGCGCTGTCTAGCTAGCATTGCGGATGTCTTAGGTACAATGGCTGCCTCCGGAGGTGGTCTAAGAAGTGGACCTGCTGCTAACAAGTCATGGAAACAAGCTTTTCGATTATTAGAGGTACAGTAATTAACTAACTCCTAGGGAAAAACAACGAATAATTTTATTTACAGCACATTTTCATTGAAATTTTATTCTCTAAATTCTACTGCCTCCTGTTGTACTATATGTACTATGTCCTCCTCATTCTCTGATTTACTAAGACATTTTAACTAAGTGTGCAATAATTTATATTTTTAGGAACTTAAAATAAATGATGGAGTTACGGTCATGGCAAAAGAAAGAAAAAATTGGTTAAAGAGGTGTGATAGTATTATTGTACAGTTTAAGTTACAGATTCTTGTTTAACATTCACTCCTAAGTTACACCTCCAATTTTAAAAATTAGGCCTGATCTAATTATACGAGCGGCTCGACATTATGAAGGAGCGGAGCAAATCCTGATAAGAAAGGCCGTATCAACTGCAAGCAGGGTAACGAAATCGCAGAAACGCATTTGTTATTATTGCTAGATATACGATATAGTACAGTACAATAGCGTATTAAAAATTCACCTGCAATTTTGGGTCTTCACAGTTTGTTACTACAACACCACAAGAACTACCACCACTGAGCGAAATCTGGGTCGTAGCTAGTAGTGGCGGTATGAATGCTATACCTTATACTTTATAGATATAAAATTAGATACAACATATTCCAGTCTCGAGGTATTGACTTGACTAGGCTGTCACAATTGACTATCTTAATGCATAATATTAGCTCGCATAGATCTCGCAGGAGGCTGGAGTGATACACCACCTATAACGTATGAGCATGGTGGTGCAGTTGTAAATGCTGCTGTTACTATCGACGATAAGGTTACCAACCGCAATTGTCGTTAATATTCTACGAATATCGCTATCTTGAATGCTACGTAGAATATTCAATCCGTTAATTTTTTATAACAACATCATAGAGACCTATTGGAGCTAAAGCACGAAGAATAAGAGAGTAAAATTTACAATAGATTCGTGATGAGATTGAAATATTACTTGCTGATCGTTTGCTCAAATATCATGTCGTTTTTATTATTTTTTCTAGCCCAATCATTAAATTGGTACTTATCGGTGATAGTAAGACTGTTATCACTTGCGCTGAGATCTCAGATCTAGAAGACTACAATAAGCCTCATGCACCGGGTAGATAACCAATGAATAGTTTAACAATTTTTATGTACACTTAGCCGGTAAAGTATTCGTACGACAAGATTCTAATCGAATTACTTAACACAAATAACAACTAATACTATTGAGGATACTATGCATAATCAATTTTGATATTACTGAATTTTCAGTGCCCTAAAATCTTATGCTATCACCCTAAATGGTCGTAAAGATCTATTAAATTAATCGCTTCTTTCATTATTTGTACGCTAGGAGCATTATTGAAGGCTGCTTTCTTATGCACTGAAATCATTTCTTTCGCCTCATCAACTCCCTTAAAACAACAGCTATTAGAAAAGTATTCTGGTGGTTTTGAGCTTCACTCTTGGGCCCATTTACCACAGGGTTCAGGTAAAAGTTTAATATTATGGCCTTAGCTGCCTTAGATACTACCGTTGTAATTAAATTCTAATAACTATGAGTTTTACGAATATTAGGCGTAGAAATGTTAATTATCAGATCACTAAATTAAAGTCGTAGAATTCTCTATTACAGAATTACAGATTTACACAACCTGTATTATTTGGAGATATTTTATGCTTTATAACATTATCCCGTTATTATTACAGGCTTAGGAACGAGTAGTATTTTAGCCGGAGCCATTATGGCTTGTCTTTTCACTGTTTCCGGTAGAAAATGTGATAATGAATCAATTGTACACTCGGTATAATCGTATTTTAATTGTAAAATATTACGGCTTATTAGCATAATATTCTTCAATTCATATTATGAATTATGAAAGAATTGCGTTGATATTAATTACTGAGTGTCATCTCTATTAATAAAGGTTTTATACCTCGAACAAATGCTTACGACTGGAGGTGGTTGGCAGGATCAGGTTGGAGGTGAGTAAATTAAGTCTTAAAATATGACTCAATTTTACTTCTTTGCGCTAATGCTATTTATTCTTATGTAAATAAAGCCAATATAAATATGTAATAGAAGAAAAGTTCTGAAATTAATATAAGTTCCATGTACTGTATATGTGTTGCTAGGATTAGTAGAGGGTGTCAAGATTTCTCGGTCGCCACCGAAACTACCGCTGAAAGTTAATATCACTAAGCTAGGTAAAAATGTCTAAAATCCAATCAGTTATAAGATAAAGATAGTTTGTATAAGCTTCAATTCCTATCCGTAAGCTATCATCGTAAATTTTATTATTTTTATACAGCATCCAAATATAGTATTTTAAAATACGTTGCATTATTTACTAATTAAATGAAATGATAATATTTTAAATTGTAAACATTTATAATTAATCATTTCGTTTGTAGATACAAAAGAAAGCTTTATTACAGAGTTAAACAAGCGACTTTTGCTAATATACACAGGAAAAACGCGCTTAGCTAAAAATCTTTTACAGGTTCTTAATAATACGCTCAAATTCATATTTAATTGTAATTATCACCAATTCAATTTACGGTTTATGTACGATTTTTCTTTATAATTGTGAAGAATCTATTTCACTTTACTAGGACGTATTGCGAGGATGGTACAGTAAGCTACCAGAAATCCTTCCAAATGTTCATAATTTAACTAGTAATGCAGAGAAATCTGCTAAAGCCTTTATTGATGGTAATTTTACTATAATAGCGTTGCTTTTTCGATATGAATTTTTAATTATCAACTAAAGCGCTAATATTTTTTTGTAAGGTAATTTGGAATTAGTTGGAAATTGTCTCAATGAATACTGGCATCAGAAAAAAAAGATGGCTCCAGGTAAATGCTGTAAATTATATTTTACTTTGGTTGTAGTTATTGTACAAATGAACTGATAAATTTTACATCAACGTATTATGATAGACTAAGACAAAGTGTTTACTGCTACTATTTTACCATATAACAGGATGCGAGCCGGCTTTGGTAACTGAAATTATGACTGCTTTGAAGCCACATTCATATGGTATAATTCATATTTGAGCATATGTCTCACATGTAATAGATGGATATAATCATTAGTTGTAACTAAATGAACAATTAGAGAAAATATAAAACATTACTAATTACTATCAAGCACTGGATGTATTATCACTTCATCTTATTAACATTAATGAAATGCTTTTATGTAGGACAATCTTTAGCAGGAGCTGGCGGAGGAGGGTTTATGTATCTCATTACAAAGGAAGGAAATTCAATAAGAGAAGTAAACGCTATAATTTCAAAAATAAAGGTAGAAACGATTATCATAAAAGAATTTTTTTTAAAATGGCCTTCGAGACGTAAATTACATACGGAATATAACGAAGGTATATTCAAATGATGTTGTAGGGCACTGAAAATGTTACCGTACATCGTGGTACAATAGATCGTGAAGGTCTCAAAATATCTTACGAGCAGCATAGATGTGGAGATTCATGTTGATCGATAATTATTTACGATATCATCTAGAATTATGATATATAGTGCTTGAGGAATCGAAGTTTAGGACGATCGATAGCAATACAGAACTATAAAGATTTCCCACAATCTCATAAAGCAAACTTTGCAATAGAATTATTTCAAAGCTAAGTATTCTTAGCATGATAGCATTGTAGATCTACTTTTTAACATTTCTGTGTAATAGTTATACTTTATTATTTTTTAAGTTCAAGAATTACCGTAAATTTTTTAAAATTACAGTACATTGTAAAATATGTAAGGCTCATTTATACGCCCAGAATGATATTCTGTATGCGGTGACACTGAAATTAACATCACCTTGGAATAGTGATAAACAATAAAATTGGTATATTTGAAGATTTATCGATGGAAATTATTATATATCGTTTAGAAATATAAAATCGAAATTGCTTGCGGTTAATACCTCACTATAAACATTCCCCCTATTATACGCGTACACAGCATGACACTCTTTATTAAAATATTTGTACTCCAAATATACTAACTTGCATCTTATAGTAACGAACTTTATAGTCCTTCGATTTAATTGTAATTATCCAAGGCCATCGATATGTTTAGGTGAATTCGAATATTGCTTATATAGATAAGTAGTAATTTTTGTTATCTATTTTTACATAGATTAACCAGCTGGGTAAAAGGGTAAATGACGATTTATTCTTTAGAGCAACATTAACAACACTAAAATCCTCCAGTTGTAACTATACAATAAAAATAGATATCATTCAAATTGTTTACAGTGCCGATTGTAACATTTGGACAAAAATATATATCCAGTGCTTGTAGTCATCAAAATTTCTATATAACATGCAACACGTCGAGATACAAAAATTTTATCTAATATCTATATCCAAATATACACACGACTAAGACAATTTTCTAGAGCACCTTATAAACTAGAAATCTGCTGTATTTGAAAGCAGTAAAATTGAAATTCGGAATATTTCAGAAATTTTGCCACTATAGCTTCCGATTCGCTAAAAAAATATTATAGTTAGGGTTAAAAGTTAGATGACAATACAATTTTCAAATTTTTCAGTCAAAATTGTAAACAAAATTACAGTATTTTACAAACCTTGTAATGGCTTGAGCAGCATTAACGTACTTAATAGCTGCTGAGATCTCCGCTCTAATAAAAAGGAAATCATTGAGCAATGAATTAATACAAAGTATCATTTATAGGAATATTTTAATTACTGTACTCTGCTTACAATGCCCGATCATTGATATGCCCATAAGCAACTTTAGCAAACGCACTGAGATCGCAGTGAGCCTAAGAAATCATTAGTTTAGATAAGATTTAGAAAAAGTTCAGTAAATTAAAAACTTCAAAAAGTACTATAACCTGCAACCTTCCTTCAGCGCTGAAAGTATTTACACCTCTAAGGAGTCGTGACATCTGCTTTGATATATGTTCGGTCAATTTCGTCATCATTTTCTCAGCGAACCGTGGAGATACAGATGTGATCTTTACGTAATAATAATAATAACAATGGCATTTAGTGTAATACATCACCGTAATTTTTATTGTTTATAATCTTACCTCTGCATGTACTTCGACCAACCTTAATAATGTTTCTTTAACATAATTGCTGACATCTGAAAATTTTACACTTACCATGAGATCGACATTAAATAAAGTTATAGAAAATGATGTAAATCTCTGATTTTTACCTTGGACTGGTCGTGGAATATCCCAACTAAAGTTCCCCACATACATATTATCCTGCATTTCAGCTACAACAGGATTTCCTCTATATTTAATGTACAGTTTAAAGATTCTTTTCTCAAGGCTATCAAACTCTTGTCGTATGCCCTTTATTAGATAAATAATGAAATAATTGGATTATGTTGCGATAGCCATCCAGTAGCTGCATAGAACTGTAAATCATCTATAGTAGCATAAGGTATATAAGGAACCCTTACAGTATGCATATTCGCTGTATTAAAATTCTGAGAATGTAATATCTTGATAACCCGTGCTAATACGTGGTCCTTTGTATAGCAACAATCGCTTGAAATTACTAGCAATCGTTGAAACTGTAACAAGACGAAATGATGTCATTTAGTTTAATAAAATATAACTTCAAAGTGCTCATCCAGCAAACACATATGTTTGTCACAATATATATTAAAAATTTTTCGAGATTATCTCTAATCTATTTCTCAAATACCTGATTAAAAGACTGCCCTCCTTCCACTAAATCATGTTCGAGCGTTGAAGTCTTTTTTGTAATAGGATCGCCCCTATATTAATTGGCGCAGTTAGAGATCCATTAAAAGATTTCACTTATGTAAAATCGCATTCAGATTACTCTAAATAAAGTATTTCCGTTATTTTTTCTGATACGAAAGAAAAAGCCGAATATAAATCTCCATATACGGATATTGATCTATAACATACTCGCTACTATCTTCCTTATCGAGTTGTAAATCCATTACAATCTTATTTAAGCGATCATTATATACCTATTAGTAAGAAAAATTAATACTTAAGTTATGCAGATATCAGCGTAATGAATGATTAAGTCTAAAATGTCATTACCAGGAACATTTTACAAATCTGTGTGAGTAAATCTTTTTGCATGTCTAAAGAGACAGACTTATTCTGTACAAATAAATGAGAACATACGTCAGAAAATTATATATAGCGTACCGTTACAGCGTTAAACATACCTATGTCAATAGTAATTACCTCTATTTCTCCCACTTTTATGTTAAGAACATGTTCTTTTAGAATCAGCAGCACCTTCGTAACCGTAGACTCAAAGCGATGAGGCTTATTACAAAATAAAGATACTTAAATGTTAGTTATTTTCGCCTTACTTGAAATTACTTTCGCAAGCAAAGTCATGGATTATACGTAACAAACTAAAGCAAGAGAAATGCGGTCAGATAAACAAACTTCCACTGACAAACTTACCGCATCAGTTAAATATCTATCTCCCTCATTCCTTAAAATCCAGGAATCGTAATATCCATGAGTACTTATATCTACAACGAACAGTTATTGTATTAATTTTAAAGACTTTTATTAGTTTAGAATCAGATATTCTATATATTACACCTATTAACGAGGCTTCACAGGCGGTTATTGCACATCGATATTTTATCTCATTACATAAGTCTTGGAGGCATCCAGTTACCGAAAGAGGGATATCAAGAGGAGCAAGACGGAATAGGCAAGATCTAAGAGCATAATGTACAGTATCTTATCATCTCCTTTGCATTTGAAATGGTAAATAGAGCACTGTTATAAAAGATATCGCATAAACCTGAGAGCTGCGATGCAACGTTGCAGAATTTTAGCCTCATTAGCTACATTTTGCTTTTTTAAAGAAGCCCATATGCCAAGATATGACCTCTGTGATGAATTCATATCTACTAGCGTAGCAGGAAGGAAGCAAGCCTTCACCAGATTAGAAAATAGCCTGATCAGTTCCCCTACGACAACCTATCCGATTAAAAGTTCAAATTTATAATCGTTTAAATTAGAAACAAATATCATACAGTATAATTTATTCACGAGATATACGAAACTAATAAGCCGAGAAGAAAACTGATACGGTAGCGAGCTTTCTAATCCATATTACAATAAACATACAGAAAATGGCTTTTCTTGATGTGTTGCATTATTATCTACATAGTTTTGATCTTGTGCCTTTGAAATATCAAATTCAACAATAAATACAAGGCAATTTTAAAAGCTTTTTAGAAACATATAGAGATAAAATACCTGCCCAGCGGCAAAAGCACCATCCATATGTAGCTTGCCAAGTTTCCAAAGAGAAGGTAAATTCTCCGCCAGTAAATCACACATTTCTTCCATAAACTGCAATCTCGGTACATCATCATCTATTTCAATGGAAGATCTGTTGCTACCATCAGTTTTATCGCCGCTATTCCATTCTAAAATTTTGTAAGATCGATTCAAATATACTCAAAATATAACAAGGCTCATCAAGAATCAAATACACAAAATTTTTGATTTGAATACCTGAATGCGTAGAACTACTAGATTCTGGTTTCTTCGTAATGTCTGCACGTAAAATATTATCAATTACTTTGTTAAATTATATAATACATAGAAAAGTTAAAAAGTTTAGTTAAGAACACTAACCAACATGCGGAACAACATTTAATATCGAAATTTTTCTTTTTGGCGTTGGTAAATCGATATTGGAATTCACCAGTTCTTCATCTGGAATTATTAATTCAAAAAATTTACTTTATCGAACTAAGCACATGCAGGAAAATTCATTTATGTATTTTACCTTTACGCAGGTAGTCTTCTTTGCAACTCATAAATAAATCTATTATCCATTTTTGTTTGTTCACAATGCATTCCCAAGCAGGATCACCAACAGTATCGAGTTCTACCAAATATCTATTGATTTAAATTAGATAGTTAGCTACCGTGAGTTAAGTCTTAACCTAAAAAATAATATTAAGTGGATATCTAAATATCTACATTAGGACATTAAGATAAATTACAGTTTAAAATATTTAATTTTTTACCTAATAATACGTTTTTGCTCCTCTAGTGGTGCCATATGCTTATTCAGCCGCTGCTTCAAAATAGATCTTACTCTATCGATTTGTAACTCGACTTCATTTAATACTATATATAAGAACGTTTCAAGCAGGTATTACGTGTAAATATTATACGTAACTGATAATTTATACATACTGTGTATATGATATACAGATAGCAATGGCTTACCTTTTTTAAAAACCTGAACTTCAGTATTTGCAAATAAAGATCTTACTCTATCATAATCGTTGATAATTAATTCAAATTCTCCCTATAAGAGTTGTTAAAAGCTATGCTAAACATTGAGCTTGCCTTTGATCCTACATGTCATAAACTAAACTATAAACACTACATTTGTAATGATTCCCTGTATCATCATCTTACATTTTTTACATTACGCTCAATGTTGCTAGGAAGGTTAAAGAGAAAACGAAAACGTTGAAGTACTCCAAGAGCATTTCTAATCGAGTCGGCTTTGTCCTTTCTACGTAACGTTTCATCAAAAAGGTTAATGCCTAAAGTCGAAGATTCTAATAGCGATACGATATATACCAAAACAAAAATGACAAAGAAGTGAACATTAGGTACTGCAATAATGGCAGTATTTGATAGCTACATAGTAGATATTACGTAAATTTGAAAAATAGACTTAAAAGTGCAGACGGTATCATCGCAAGATTACCTCTAACTGATACTTCTAATTTACCAGTAGGCAATCCATGATCCCAAGTATCATTTTTAGCTGCTTCTCGATACACATCTTAACGAGGTTTGTTAATTAAAAATAGCCAGTAGAGACATTCTTTTTGTTAACCGTAGTATTATAAAATGAATAAGCTAGCATATTCATGGCATACTTAATTTATAGCGAAGTTAGAGAAGAAAATAGCTTAAATATGCAAACTGCATCAGATATGATTAAGGATACTAGTTAGCGTCTCATATGCGGCCAAGAAATTAGTAATATTACGTTTAAGAAATGTTTGAGGTCCGCTAGATAAAGAGCGTACTTTTTCCTTAAGATGTTGCAAACCCATCTTAAGATCGTCAAATGTAGCATTACAATGTTTCTCTAATAAAAATCGAATAGGATGAAATTTTTCGCTCGATATTTCCGAATCACCTGCAAATAAGATGAAAACAGATAAAGAACATCATCTTGATGGAAAATTGTGGGTCTTTCTATTCATATTGAGATTACCCTTATCATTAGCTATTTCGATTACAGAAATTTTTCAGCACTACGATAATTCTAATTAAGTTAAATGAGCCTATCCATTAATTTTAATATATTAGAGTAACATTATTATGAATTAAATCTACGTACAGCTTGAATAATAGGCTTCTAATTCGTCTTTAGGAATACTTAAATTGAGAAAAAGTTAAAAAATAAATTCAGTTACGCTAAAAATTCTTCTAATTTTAGTATAAAATTAATCTAAGTCGATAGGATGGCAATCCATACTCCGATTCAGCTGCAACAGGCAGTCCTAAAGGATCATTAAAAGCAATCGGCTTCCTTTTAACACCAGTAGTAGCAATTTCATCGTCACTTGTATCTTCTGGGATCCACATAGGAAATGGAGTCATAGGATCTAATAGATACGAAGAATAAATTCAATTACATGTACAGCTTGGAGAAGGAAAGCGTCGCCTCCTATTTTAAAGACAGTATTTACAAAGATAATTTGATTATTTCAAATCTACTAGAATAGTTAGTATACGCAAAATATAACTAATGAACACAGTAGCATCTACCTATACGGTCAGGAGCATATGCAAGGAAGGTAACGGTGCATGTGCCTTCTCCACCCGATTTGGTAGTGACAATAACCTCGCCATTTCCCAAGCCAAAGCCAGTTTTACACACAATCTTGCTTTGTGACATATAGGTAGCATTTAAAATACAATCAAATCCACATACCATGACATCTATAGAAAAATAATTTCACAGTTGATCAATTTATTAGTATTCGGTATATCACTAAGGTTCAAGAAGGATAGAATATTTTATGCGTGTCTTATTGTTTACGTCCAAGAGGTGTATACCGTCGTTGATAATTAATTCATTAATCAATGATATCCTTGTGATAATAAATTATAATCAACAAATTTTTAAACTTCTCACATAAATTACAGTGCATCGAAGAATTGCAGTTTAGCCTGTAAACAAAATGGTGTCAATGAAAGCATCAAATATGCTTCAGGTAAAGTAGATCTATCAAAGACATCTCAAAATCTAAATTAAGTGAATTAGCCATGCATCACGTTTTCAAGTTATTGAACCTAACCGCGAATTGCAATATTAATCGAATCTAGTAAAGGTGTTATGATTGTAATTCGTCAAGCTGTATTGAATCCATTAAGTTATCAGCAGTACTACCAAGTACGAGTATAATGAATTATACATTTTAAGATATACCCATATATATATACTGTATATATGACTTTATTGAATTGTCTGCTGAAAGAGCAATGCTATATGTATAACGTATTGAGTTTACTTAACGTTACACACTCCACTAAGCTGCTCGTGTTATGCGTGTACCACGGTATTGTAATTTGAGCTAAGAACTAGCAGCTTTGTAAGATTAAGTGAAATTTGGAACATGCAATGCTGTCTAATCCAATACTGTTCGCGCTAAATACCACAGTACTGTATAACGTGTAGATTGATTGGCGTCCGAATAGTACTTTAGTACAAGCTAGATGATGACTAGAGCTATGCACGTCTACTTTAACAAGGCTAAATGGAATGAATATTTGAAGAAAAAGTCCATTAATATTTCTTCAATAATTTTTGGCTATTCCCATGCCAACATTGCATTCATTTCCGTATTCTGTATTTTACCTACAAAACGACTGTCGCTCATAACCTATGTTCAAAAGAACTGCTGTATTACCCATGTTAGCTAGCAGGAAAAATATCTTTTCCAATTCTGTCCAGTTTACTTTGTACTGTATGAGTTGTAATCAAAACTTGCCGCCCATCTACAGAAGACTTGTTTACCTACGAGACTATGAGTAGATCATTACGTCCACCTCAAAATTGAAGTCAGTGCTCTACAGAATTTATCACTTGCACTCGACTATGCTGAAAATGGAACTGTGCTATATTTCAGCGCGATATGCTATGGTCAAAAGTACAGTATACCATAATAGATATAGGATTGCAATGATAAAATGAAATTCTGCTAATTGCATTTTTTTATTTCTTCCCTCTAGCCCTATCAAGGAACTCCATCCTTTTTTTACAGTATTGATGCATACAATGTATTAAACATTGACATACTACGGGAAAATTTTCACAGAAATTAATTAAATTAAATCGATTGAAGGAAGAGAGTGAGTGAAACATACACAGGAAGAAACAGAGAACTCATACAAACGACAAGAAAATGCAAGATAGTCGATAGCCAATTATTTATTGTACACTTACGAATTAAGTCTTGAGCATTAAGACCTAAATTTTCTCCGCGTATGGTTAATAGCGTACCAGGTATGCCATCTTTAGGCGATATACCGGTTACTTTAGGGGGTAATCCTCTCATCCGCTCTGCCATGATCCAAGATGGTCATTGAGAATGGGTTTCAATTTTTCAATTTTCACTGGGCTTTCTTCCTTCCTGTGAAGAACGTCGTCCCTGCAGTTGGTGTTGCTTGTGTTGTTTGACCGTAAGCAGTGACTGAACTGGTAAGGCGTGTCAGGTTACAGACCACCAGAGTCCATCTGTCTGTATAGTATTGAACTGTCCCTACAGTATACTACTGATTAAACAGTATACCGTACCATAATTCCAATAACTGTCTGTCTGTATTAGTGGATGTACAGTAGTCCATACTGCGCTGTAGTGTAGTTTATAACTTTGATGGACTGTACTGTACACTGTACTGTAGTCAAGTTAATCTGTCTGTCTGTATTACTGGATGTACATTGTACTGTACAGTAGTCCATACTGCACTGTAGTGTACAGTACTGTAGTTTGTAACTTTGATGGACTGTACACTGTACTGTACTGTAGTCAAGTAAATCACGCCAGTCTTTAATGGCTGCACTAGACCTCGTCATTTTGCAAGAAGTTCTTAGTATACTTGGCTGAAATTGCTGTACTGATGCTTTTTATATCACACACCGCTAAAAAAATTTTCAGCAAAGTGTACTTTACTCAACATTAACAAGTGAGAATTGGTTCTAAAATGGCTTGGTTTGCTTTGCTATACTCCTACATGTAGTACACTAGTCATCCTCCAATGCCTGTACTGTAGTCAAGTAAATCACAGCAGTCTTAATGTCTGCACTAGACATCGTCATTTTGCAAGAAGTTCTTAGTATACTTGGCTGAAATTGCTGTACTGATGCTTTTTATATCACACACCGCTAAAAAAAGTTTCAGCAAAGTGTACTTTACTCAACATTAACAAGTGAGAATTGATTCTAAAATGGCTTGGTTTGCTTTGCTATACTCCTACACTAGTCATCATCCAATGCCTGAACGTCTTGTACCAGTATGATTAAGCTCACTGCTCGACTACAGACAGACATTGGCGTTTTCATTGCTCACTACACTTGTACTGTACGTACGTACAGGGCGACAGGTCAAATGCAGAGGACCGTCGTGGCACTGCTGTACGTACTGTACTACATGTACTATAGGCCAAACCGGAAGAGTTCACTTTCACCTCCTTTCATTGCTCCAAGCATTACATTGCAGTGAAATTGCAAGCTCCTTCTGCTCACAAAGCCAGTGAAAAATCGAAAAAAATTAGCTATGACCGCATTTGCAGGTAATTATGTTAATCAGTTCTTCCATGGGCCATAGGACCATTGAACTGAATGTAGAATAGAGTCGTGAAAGTGTAAGAGAGACTAGAATATTGCTCAAAGCGATATCCACTCACTGCCAGTGCATCATCTTGCGCTGTCGTTAGCTGTCATACGAGACACTGAAATATAGTCAATAAAATTGCATTGCAAACCAGTTCGATGTTCATCTTCATCTAACCATCATTCTAATCTTGACCTTATGTCCCCCTTTCGATCCTACATAGAACTCGGGGTTATGCCAGAAATTGTGGAAGCAACTGAAGAAATGGATTGGATGTAAGCAAAAATAGAATTTTTAAATGAATGAAAACCAAGGTTGCTCAAGTTATGGTTCATCACCTTGATTTGTATTCTAGGCGATAGTAGTAACTAATTCTATGAAAAAAATCCACTTTTAAAAGTATACTATCGGTATTGACTGGTATTACTAGATTGCAATACCTAATGTGCATAGTTTTTAAGATACAATACATTACCAAGTGACGAATGAGGGTCATAAATCATAGTGTATACCTTGTGTAAGTAAACGTTAATTTGTACAACTGGTGTAGCCAAGTTCGATTACTGGCCTTAGCATACTGTACAGCTAGGCCTCCACGACAAAAGGAAAGGTTAGACAGAAACGGCCTAATTTCGATGATGAAGTTTAAAGTTGAACAACAAGACACACAGTAGAAATGAAGTCCTCAAGAGTTATTGATTTACCTTTATACTGTACATTGGACAGTACAAGATAGCAATCATAATATAAGACGAGTAGTCCAATCCATAGACACATGATTAATTTTTATTTTTAACCCATTCGCCAACTGAGATCGAAAAGATCGAATGGCAATAATTATAACATGCTATAGTGCAGCCTCAGAACAAAATGTCATTAATATTTCTTACCTTTTCATCCTGTAGTTTACCCACCAATATTCAGGCAGAAGCAATTCCATTAATATTAGGAGGTGGCGATGTATTAATGGTGAGGTTTTATATCATAAATACACATGTCAAATTCGCTCTTAATTAAAATATTCAATATTAACACGAGAGAGACCATCAATCACTACTGTGACTGCAATTCTGGCTAAAGCCTTAAAATCTATTTTCGGTAGTAAAATGAAATTATAATCTTGCATTAAGAAATCTATAATATAATATACGCATTTAAGACAGAATGATTGCAAGATTTATAAAATAGGAATGATCAATATTTGTATTAGTTGAGCCCTATCTAAGAAACTCTGCTATTAGTGCTATTAGTTACGTACGTTATACCACTATTACTTGATAATATTCCTATAACAATCAATCATTCAAATTTCGATACTATTGATCTAGAACTTGTTTCCAAATTATTTGATCATGTATCAAAGAAGTACACGTTCATTCTACTGTACATGAACTAATTACAGTTAATAATAGATTATTACTCATCTTTTCGTTATTATATATGTAATTAATAAAATTTAAATCTTACTCTTTGAAACGAAATGATAGTGTAGCAGTAAGCATTCTTCTTAGAATCTATTCCAATCCTTTTTTAATTTTAAATATTGTTAGGCTGCAGAAACCGGCAGTGGAAAAACCGGGGTAAGTTTAAAACTTGACATATACTTGTATGTAGTATATATGTATACATAAATGCTTACAACTGTAAAAGTCATATGCCGAAGCCGTACTCGTCAGATTACGTACGAGAAGAAAAAACATACAAATAATACCAGTATGTCCTCTTTACAGGCCTTTTGCCTTCCTGTTATTCAAATTGTGCATGAAGCATTGACAGAAACTGTCAAGGGTAAACCATTAAAGTCTTCAGTAAAACCTTCCATCGGTTAGTTTAAGCTGTTTTGGTTATTTTCATGTAAAAGCTACAGATATATCGTAATCTAATAGTAGAAAATTAACTAATCCATTTCCTTGATAGTTGATACAATCTCTTTTATCTATAAACATCGGTATGATTACACTGCTTTCTGATTGTATTGACCTTAAGATATTATATTTAACAATACAGATACCAAAGTTAAACTAAACCCCTTTGATAGAAGCGATCAGCTCGGTATGTTAATCCTATAACTGCTAGTATTACATTTATAGGTATTACATTGACGTATATTTGTTATAAACTATTCAGCAATTGATAAAGATGGCTTAATATGCCAAGGCAGAGAGCACTTTCAATGGCTAGGCTGCAGATCAAATATTGGCGTAGTTAAAGGTTTAAAAATAACGAAAGTAGCGAAGCAGTCACTTAGAGATACTATCACAATAAAGTATAGCAATACATGACATCAGAAAAGATATTTTAAACTTTAATGATTCTTATCTTGTATAGGAAAATTTTATTACGAAGCTACAGTAACCGATGAAGGCCTGTGTCGTGTGGGATGGTCAACTGATATAGCTTCCCTAGATTTAGGTATAACTCAACCTTTCAACCTTTCCTTATCTTTCTTGAGAACGGACAGTAGATTATGTTTACTATAAAAATCTAGGTACAGATAATAATGGTTTTGGTTTTGGGGGAACCGGGAAAAAATCCTATGCCAGACAATTCGATGGCTATGGTGAGGTGGGTAATTTTAATAACATTTATATTGTAATAATGATACTGGTAACTGGGTAATACTTCTCGATAACATACATGTGAAGAAAATGCTATCTTAATTTCAGCCATTCGGACACAAAGATGTGATAGGGTGTATGCTGGACCTTGATAATTATGAAATTCGTTTCAGCAAGAACGGTAATATCACCATTTACAGGATTCATGTACTAAATAATTTCCCAAAAAAGTAAAAATTTTAATGATTCAAATTAATTTTTGAACTTTTTCTAGGAGTCGATTTTGGTCGCGCATTTGAAATACCTCAAAAGCTTAGAAACTCTCCATTCTTTGCGGCAGTAGTCTTAAAAGTACTGAAAGCTTTTGATATCTATGCTAATTAATGCCTGCTAAAATATATATTATTACATGAGCAATACCTTGAATTGGATACCCGTTAACAACAATAACTATCTTATGATGGAATCTGTAGAATGCAGAAATGCAATTTAATTTTGGTGATGACGCGTTTACATTTTCACCGCCGGTAAGCAAATTGCAAATCCGATGGTAAAGTTCCACTAATAATTAATGAGTATACTTTACCTTACGACTATCCATGGTATTATAATCCTTTGTGAATACATACAGTATATATATACGAGTATATCGTATTCATATTCCATTGATGCGCATTTTTATAATTGCCACGTAATTTAATTTAAAATAGTAAGGTATTCTTTGAATCCAAACTACCAGCTATTGTGAAATGTAAATCATGTTATGTATTCTATTAAATCAATTCTAAATATCGAGACGCTTAAGTGAATCAAATTAGACGAAACGTAACACTAGGTTGCACGTAACTAATATTGACATATATCATAATATACGCAGCAAGGATTCAGGACCTTATCAAAGAGTACCACTGATGAACGCTACCATAATATCAAAGGTAGGTAGACATTATTTAGAAACTTAAAACATGGTAATCACACCAAGTGCACTTGAAAACGATATGAATAAATTAATATTATGCTTTCAATGTACGCGTACACTTTATTTGATAGGTCCAAACTCTTCAAGTAAAGAATCGCGAAGACCTACACATTCAGCACCTACAGCCTTGATTATAGAAGTAATTGAAATTAAAATGATGCTTGTAAAAGTGATGCCAACATTCGCTGGCAATAAAAAAATTTATATTATTAGTTTACTCCAATTTTTTCTCTAACTTAGCCATCTCGAGAACTAGCACAACAGGTACTGATTACTAAGCTATGTTTATTGTACGCCTAAAAAGCTCAATGCTGTTAGATTCGTCCCATGCGTATTATGTAGTTGTTAAAAAAGTCTATTTTTTATTTTTTTATTTCATGATTTATAAATAGACATGTGATCAAATATCCCTCTTTAAAGAACACCTAGCATCTCCAGCAATTAGGTAAGTATAAATTAAAGAATATCGAAAAAAGTTTTAAATTATTCAATAGATCATATCTCAATTTCTTCCATGGGCTATTAAAGAGAGGTTCTGCTAGTTGGTGGAGAAAATCCTAAACAACAAGTAAATCTCTTACGAGAAGGGGTATGCTTAAAAGCACATGAATATTGTAATTTCCTGTGCTTGATATAGTAACACATACATTGTATATACTAATATCAGCTTGTAAGATTTTTGGCATTAATTACCATAGGTCGAGATGGTAGTCGGTACACCAGGACGCCTAGATGATTTCATATCATCAAAAAAGCTTGATTTATCTCAGGTACTTATTTATCCGACCCCTATGCAATCTGCTTCTTATGATTATAGTCACATTTAACTTACTGATCTAATATTTGCTAAATGTTATATAGAAGTAACAAATTATATAAAATTAAACTTAATTTCACTACTCTGCTTTAATTATAATTATGACATACTCTTACTCTAATCTAGGTTCGATTTTACATCTTGGACGAAGTTGTGAGTTTAACTCTAAAATTATTTGATGCGATTTACCTTTAAATTTTATCATAACTTTAGCTACGGAAAGTTATTTTATTATCTTAAAACTTGTTCATAAAGGACGGGCTATTAGCTCAAGGGCATTCCGAACTGATATGTCAAATTTATAATAAATTACCAAAAGTATCTACCGATGGTAAACGTCTACAGGTTTGTTTCCGGAAATACCATACCTTATTTACTACTAACAAGTAGCTAAATGAACCGTAATATTTTAATAAACGATTGTGCAATCGATTCCTTCACTATTAATGTATCACTAATGTAGATAATTGTATGCTCCGCCACCCTACATAATGAAGCCGTGAAGCAGCTCGCTGTAAGCTCTAAATATACCATCATTTGTCCTGATAAGCTTTAATGGCGTCTTATATGCCTATATTTAGGATAAAATAATGAAATATCCTACGTGGATCGATCTGAAGGGAAAGGACAGTGTGCCCGATACCGTACATCATGTGGTATATAATTTATAATGCCATGCAGTATTAATCACAATGGAGTATTATGATTTCCGCAATATCGTAACAAGTGTAACTCCATGATTGAAATTTAGATAAGATTATCAGTAATTATCTTTATATTCTCAATAATTAGGTTTGTATGATTGACCCAACGAAAGATAAGGGATGGCTTAACCTAAGAAGAGACATTACAGTACGCCTAATTAGCTTAAACGTCTTCTGTTAAATGTTGAATACTAGCTGACAAGATGAAATTTTGATTTGAATTATTGCCATCTTTAAATCCATATCTAGACCGACAAAGTACATGCAAACGATCTCATTAAATCAACCTCTACTACTCCAGGTGATGACGGAAATAAATGATTCATCATTTCTTTTACCTTATTGTGTTTGCAGTATGATCTTAACTAAATTTCATGAAAATGCTGAACAGAAACTCTATCTGAAGCCATTAAAACTTTGAAAGTGCACTACCTAGTTAAGGCAATAAATGCGTTGAATATGGAACAAGCAATAATTTTTTGCAGAACTAAACTAGATTGTGATAATATTGAGAAACATTTAATCGAGTTAGGCGGAGGTAATTTAAGTAACATCTTAGCCAATGTATTGTATGCATATGAATCTACAACTGCGAATAGTCTATTAATTACTTAAGTCACTGTACGTTATAGGTCCACGTGCAATGGTGAATCAGCTATCATGCGTATGCCTTCACAGCGATAGAAATAGAGCAGAACGACAACAGAACCTATCCAGCTTTAAGGTTATTTGCTAATCAAGCCCTATATCTTCATAGTTTTAGAAGCTTTATGCTTTAATTTCAAACTATTGTATAGCCATTTCACTGTAACACGATAACATCATCACACACCATGAGTAGTTAGAGTAAATCCCACACTTACTTACAAATGACAAAATTGAGAAATAGGACTCTAAGTTTATCTACAACTCTAAAAATTTTAGTGTGGGCAAATAAGATTCCTTATATGTACCGACGTAGCTGCAAGAGGTCTAGATATCACTGGAATTCCTTATGGTGAAGCTTTAAATACTTAAGAATAGTTTTAATTTAACTTCTTGACATGAAATTACTTGAAATGATTCTTTAATTAGCCCGTAATTTATTGTATAGTGGTAAACGTAACGCTACCGGATGAAAAGGAAAATTATATTCACCGCATTGGCAGAGTTGGTCGAGCTGACAGGTAACGACAGACTATGAATTGTAAGAAATGAGCCAACGACCTTATGTTACGCTATAAGTATCATCTGCAACCGTATATCATATATACGCGTATTTATGTCCATCTTGCAGAATGGGATTAGCAATTTCCTTAATATCAACAGTTCCTGAAAAGGTAATTTCAAAAATTTTTAGCTTTCCCATGGATTTTATAACCTTAAACTAACTCGCAATATTCTTAATCACATCCTATACCAAATGCTAGGTTTGGTATCACACCTGTCCTAGTCGAGGTAAAAAGTGTCATAATACCAAACTCAAGGAAAATGGCGGATGTACTATTTGGTACGATGAAGTACAGGTAAAATTCGAAAACAGTTTAATATATATTTTTACTTTATAAATCAATCTTAACATGTGTGTGAAAGCCTCAATTGAAATTCGTTTCTTCAAAATACTTCATAATCTGTTAGCTTCTGAAGAACGTTGAAAATCATTTGAACACCAAGGTTGCAACTGTCAATAGCGATTTTGTGGTAGAAAAGACTGTATCTGGCGAAAAAATTGTCTATGGAGGGAAAAAATCTGAGACCGGTAAATAATTGTCGTTCTTTTTGTATTTATCAAATTAAATGCAATTTGTTTAATCAATCACTCAACACAAACTTTCCTCCTGAGTCACTTACATTTTTGATCATCATGATTGCCAGTGGTTTAATGTTGTACAAATATTTTTTCAATTCTGTAAGGTGAAAACAAGGGACATTTTGAACAATTAGCGTCAACAGTTTCTGAACTAGCCACCTTGGAGAAACAAGTTCAGTTATCATTCCTAAGTATGCAATTTAACCGAAGATGAATTTAAATATTTATAAAATAAGTAACACTATGAATCAACAGGATTAATTCAGATAGGAGACTTTTTATTATTTCTAACATTACTAGTACAGTTGTCTATTATAGTTACTGATTTTAGCTTCATGAAAGCCAGAAATTACTTTGGTAAAATTCCAGTATGATGTGATAGAAAAAGAATTCGATCATTCGTAACAGTCACTATTATTTTAAGTTGTTTCGAAGACCACACGTAAACATGAAATTGTGTACTTCTAGAAGTACCTATAAAATAGATGTAAACGTATCAAAAATATACTGTACAGAATGTGCACTAGTTGAGTATGATGCACGCCTAACCACAAGAACAATACCTAGAGCGTTGCAATGTATTTGTGGAGGATTAATGTATTATATAATAAACAAAATGGATTCTCTTAACGTTTGTAATGAAAAGCGGAACACTTCTATCAGTAATACTGATTCAGTTCTGCAAAGATTAAGCTAGCAAGCGATGATCAGCACAACGTCATTATTGCTTATCCAAAGCCATATTAAAAACTACTAATAAAGCTTCAGTCTCGTAGTCTCCGATTATAATATTTTAGTGGTAAATGAAGCATAATTTTAAGAGTATGATGGTCTTGAAGCTATTGCAAATTTAATTATGCTGCTTTGTAATGACCAAAATTGAAGTACGTAGCAAAAACAATACAGATCATTTCATTGCACGTATGTCTTCCATAGCTTAATTGTGAGTGAATGAAGGAGATTCAAGAAAAGTTACAGCCAATTATCTTAATTCATAAAAGTTATAATGTTACTTAAGCAATAGATAGAAGCGCTGGAAAGTTGCATATACAGTAATGGCAAATCTATTTTGTTTATTGTGCCCATTACGGGGGTTCAGAAGCCATCAGTTAATATTTTGCATAACTTTACTTATTTAAACACTTGCAGTTTTATGGAATCATGATTCACATTTCCATATTTAAAGAAGTAACCGCCAAGGTCACCTGGAATTAAAAGCTGAAATATAATTCACTATATATTTCCAAATACGACATATTTTGCTACTATTCTAGCTTAGTAATACTAATCAAACAATCAGAAACTAAAACATTTTAATTGTGCTTCTAATTTATTAGACTACAACAATTTCCTTTCCGTCCCTTGTCATTCATAGAATGAATATATTATATAAAATTTAAAATATCGTATTACATATTTTCGGAATATTGTATACCTAAGTACAATATGAAATTCCTTCATTCCCATTTATACCAATTGTACAGTACAATGTGTTATACGCATTACCGATCAATATTGAATAACCGATAACTCGCGTCTTGCAATAGCTTAATTCCAACGTTCTATACTATAATTTCATTTATGGTGCGAAGACACAATTGGTTTAACAATATTACATCGAAAAATTCAATACGTCATTTTTTGTGCGTATAAATACCCTGGTATAGCAAATAAAAACATGAAATACTGTGCTGTATATGCATTTACGCGTATATTTCGCGCCGCTTGGAACTTTCTGATGTTTTTTCTTCTCGTCGCTTTCGTTTTCGTTAAGAATCTATTCTACCGAGCCTTGTTAAATTCTCCATTCCTTTCTACCGTATTTTAACGTTACACCACTTTTAGTTTTGCACGAAGTTAGCAGATTAGTAAGAGATAAGTATGTATTGTATAAGTCAACTTTTATGTAAGTCACCTATTGGTTACCATTACTTTTATGACATTAAGCTACATCCGTACTAGTTATTGTAAATTCAAAAACTTTATGCAAAATATCAAGATGGTTATTTTAATTTTTATTTTCATTTGTGACAATGTCCGTTCTTTCAGATTTGATCTGAGCTTACCAAGTACAGTCTATTCCTTTTCTTTAATACGTTACACGTTTCTATCCTGAGTACATTAAATAAGTCATTTTGCAAGTGTTAAAAACATTTTACATTATCAGTTTTGTTGTACAATGTACGTATATTAAATAAGGCGCTTTGTAAGTATTAAAAACATTTTAAATCAGTTCTGTTGTATAATGTACGTATGTATATATTATATATATGCAGTTGCATCTCTTCAATTAAACATATTAGGCTTTCATTTATACAACGTAAATATTAACCAACGGTCGTGTCTTACAATATAATATGATTCTTATTATTAAGGTCACTTATACCTGAAGAATCATTTACTAGACATTACCAGGATGCGAGTATTAATAAATTCGTACGTTGACATGAATTACTACTTTATATTTTACTGTTTTATATCACACATCGTGAAGAATTTCATATCCTGATCAATTACTTTGATCAAGATTCTACAGTATCCAAGTAAACAGTAACGACGTATTCTCACTGCGCAGAATGCTATAGTCCATGCTGTTTAAAACTATCCCTAGGATTAATAGGTAACATTACGTACAGTATGCGTACGTTTATCTCGATACTTGCATCAGATAAAATTTTCATAAACTACCGACGTTGGTAGTTGAACTAAAAAAAACACATTTAAATATGGTATAAATGTATTATACGCATAAATATATACAAACATACAATTCAAATAATGATCATTTGATTACTAAAAGAGGTTTTATAGACGTCAATAAATTTTATAGCTTCGACTGAATGGTTACATTTCATGTAATTTAGCACATATGTGCCGCTATCTACAAATACAACGTTACGACATAATTCAAGAAAAGCTACATATAAATCATTCTTGCCTAATAGCTGAAACATTTGAAACAATTGTAATAATTCTGGTTTCTTATCAATACAAAAATGCTGCTCAATTTGAATAGATTATACAAATAACTAGATGCAAATAGGAATAATATATTTTAAATTGCCTCAACAGCATAACAGGAGAGACTATATAGAGAATAGGATTGATGAATTTATATTTAAATATAAATTACGTTTTATGAATCAGAAAAAAGCTTGTCATAGTCTCAGTTTCTGACATTGCTGCATTTGAATCTTGGAATTATATAACGATACTTGTCCACGGTATTGGTTTACAGTCATCATACCGAGTCGGTCGCCATCGAACCATTAAAGTCGTTGCTTTTTCTATCAGGCTGTATATATAGTAGTTCATATATATATATATATATATATATATATACATCAATACAAGCATGCAAATATATGCTCGCTATAAGTAAAGACTATCAGATTCTATCTTTCGTGTTCATGTTAGTATACCAACAGCATACATCAAAATAATAATAGCAAAAAGCTTAATAACAGCGTTACTACTTCAGCTACTTAACTTTGGAAATTTGAGTAAACAATAGACACAACAATAAATAGCAGAAAATGCATATCATTCAGAAGATTATCAGGTCACTTCCAGCCTCTTTCTTCTAATACAGCAAATATTATCGAGATTGCATCGTAAAGTAATAATAGCTCAGCAACACTGATTTTAGTGATCATGAGTAAAATTGCACATTTCAGAGAAAAAATGAAGATATAGTTATGTCTAGCATTATTAAGTAACCTGCACAGATAGCAGTACTATTCAGAGAACTAGAATCTTCTGATATTTTAGCCAAGAATATATCATCGCACAGATGTAAAGATTATGTTATTTTGCATAATTAAAAATTTGTTAGATTCTGCTATCATAGTTAATAAGTTTCGTGTATTGCCAAAATTTAGATAACTATATTCACACACAAATGATAACAGCTTGATACAGACCACCTTGAATAAAACCGACGATATGTCAGTAATTTTGCAGTCTTCATAACTGGTAGTTTAGAAGCAGTAATTAATGTGGCAAGTGTCAAGTTAAATAATTTCTCTCTTATCTTATTTAAGTTTTTATTACTGCTCTGTATCAAGGTGTCACTGCTCGTAGAGGACACTTAGAAGATATTTCGTGTCTTCCTGCAATACGATTACGATGTTTATCAACCTGAAATAGAATAAGAAAGCGGTTATGGACAATTTATGTTTAAAATTACTATAGCTTCGTGTTAAATAGTAACCTTTGGGAGTCCTGCTTGGTAAATTAAAGCGCGAGCACAATTATTATAATGTTTAAACCTATCAGCACCTAGCAATACTCCACCATACCTATGAACATAATGTGATTATACATTGAACACCCCTATGGAAGCATAGTTAAAGAATATAATTCAAATTTACCATCGACTGACGATTACCGCCACATTTTCAATATTAAGTATCTACATTAGAACATAGGATATAGTTAATATATTACGAAGTAGAAATAAGATTTATATTTGTTAATAAAATGATGGCTAAAAAATAATTACCTCTAATAAATGTAGTAATCTAGATCCAGCGGCTTTTTCTCCATCATCATCACAATCCTGTATATACGTCCCATGTTCCTCATTAATAATTCTATGATAAATATTGCCACGATAAAGTTAAACTTTTAAAATTGTAATGAATGTCAGGAATAACGGATCAATTTCTGCACCTGTATGCTAGTACATTATGAGATGCGTGCGCAATTTTACGCTTTTCCATAAGGGAATCTTTCATGCGGGCCACCTAGTAGTTTTTTGGCAATTGATCCCATTAGTAACGCCGTAAAATAAATAGAGGAGACCATACGTTAATAATAAATACGATTATATCTGTCAACTTACCTCAGAAACACATTTTACTACTGCTAAATGAGCCTGAAATACACTCTTGCGATCTACGATAGGTTCGCCATGGATAATCTCTGGGTTTTCTGCAATAGGTTAGGTTTAAAAATATTACATAGACTAAATATTTTGCAGTAGACGAAATTTTTAGTTATTTCTACCTTCTTTGCCAATAATTGCACTAGTACTAGGTGCGCTATTTACAGCGTTATCTGTTTCGTCCAATTTGGATTCTATTTCATTGTCTGAACCGGACGATTGATATACCGTACTAATCTAAAAATTGCCGCAATAATTCTATTTTAAGTGCGGGTATCAATCAATTAATTATACTCAAAATTATTCAATCTAACAGTGTATTGAAATCAAATTACATTGTTACATACATCAATACTGTTGCTACCGCTCGCTACATAATTTCTACGCTGAATGATAGAATTTTCTTTTTCAATCTTCCAAGCTAAACACTCACGAAGTTTTTCTACCCACTGGAACAGAATAACTTCACCGCCACTATCACTGTTACATACGTAATCAGAAAACATTACATATGCAAAATCCATTAACGCTATAACGAGTAAGTGAATAAGAACGCTAATAGGCAATAAGTATTGTGGTTTAGTGAAACTATATTCATATAAGCTATTTATTTAATAGTAAAGATTCATAAAGAAGCTAAAGAAACGACAGTAAAAACCAATATCACTGGCCAATTATTCTCGAAAGTAAAATCAAATTAAAAGTTCTTTTCAAAATTGCTGTCAAAGGTCAGTTGTAACATCTCAAACATTAACATTTCAACTGACCAAAGTTATTCGACTTACTTATAAATCGTATCAAGAGCATGACACATTTCGGTATGTTCTTCTTCACTAAAGAAATTAGCCCTAGGTAGAATTTTAATGGATGAAAAAAGTCAATTTTATAATCAAAGACCAACGTAACCATTTATCAAAAAGGTAACTTATTATTACGTTAATTCGTATTCCGGTGCATTATCAGTAGGATAGGTTACAGGGAGTAGAACCTACGAATATATCAGTACATACCCAATCAGAGTTACATCTACATCTAATATTTATGTCGAGGATTAAGGCACACTCAACCAATTTGAAGATATAGAAAACATTCAAGCACTTTATATCATTTATGCAAATTCTACTCTAATCAATTATTCTGACTCTGATTTAAATTATAAGCAAGAACATTTATAAATATTTGCTCCGGTAATTCTACATAATTCTACGCAGAAGGTAAAGTAATACTTTATATCATTTAATTTTTCAGAACATACTCGACACAATATTTACAGTATTGAAATTTCGCTTTAACGTTCAAATTAGGTGTAAATGCGTAAAACACTCGTGAATAGCGTGCAGTACATATCTTCTATTACACTATCCACTGCGTACAGATTTAATACTTTATAATTGAAGTTCGTAAATGGTACTTTTATCAGCAGTGCATACATACATAGACGTATTAACTTATCCTATGTTTAAAAATTTAAGCAACGTTGTTAACTAAAAGGTAATCTACCTTTAATTCAATGGATACGACCGAATCCAAGTAATCCTTCTGCAAACGAATGACGTAAATTCTTGATGTCCCATCAATAACTGACCAATCATCGCCATAAATTGATGCTAAAGCCTCTAATTCTTCTTTCTAATCGGTGTATAATATATACTTAACATTAACAAAAACCTTATAATGATGTCTGACTTAATAACGTTTTTATCTATTGCCGCAATAACTTTAAAGTAATGCTAGTGCCAACGTGTTATCAAACACATCCATCAGGATTATTATACATTTAATAGGGATTTACTAACAAATTATTTTTTTTAACACATGATTAGGTTCACGACACGGCTGATCGCAACTTAATAGCTGTATCGTGAGTCTACGGTAATGTACACACTGCATGTAAGTCACTAAAGAGCATAAATAAGACAGTTACTATTGGATATGTTAGTTCTGAAGGTACAGCCACATGTGTATCGTAGTATGGCCATGCAGGGCAAGGTAGGCTTTTGAGTATACTATGTTGTGTTATTAAGTGATAAAAAGTAGCAACTAAACATTACAGTAACAATAAGTGGCAACACCTAAACCGTAAGTAGACACAGTGAACGGCCGCTACAACGCATGACTCACTTTCAACGATCCTTCAATATCAAATATCATACCATACTGTACAGGGGGTGCCAATAGCAAATTATAAAGATGCATATTATTATTATTATTTTCTGATAAAATACAGTAGAGTACAGTCAGTACATGTTTAGCATACTGCACAAAATCGCTTGGTAAACAGACTGTACTATTATTGTTCACGGTCAATATGCTGATATACTGACCCATGATCACAGTAAAAACTGTCTAATTAATCAGTTACTGTACAGTATAGTACGTGATACTTAACATGAACACAATTGTACAAAGTCATACAAGTAAGCAAGCAAAATAAAATCTGTTCGTTGTAAATAATATTAAAATTTTGTCTAAAATCATAAATCATACAATACTACAGTGTGTGAATTATACGTACAGTACATGTTACACAATTATTGGAAAAATCGTTGAAAGAACAGTCTATCAATTACATTTATAGCCATACTTTGAACGTATACACAGGGAGTAAACATTATCTCCTAATTAATTACGAATACACGACCATAACTTTCTACGAGACTGTAACCTTCAATCTATCGAGATAGACAGCGTTGTATTTTAATGTCGTATTTTTGGCACATACCGGCTGTACTAAAATGGCAGATTGAAGAAAGTTCCTCCTCTATACTAGTTTCCTACTGAGTGAAACATCCGTTGTAAATTACTGTAATACCAAGTCGTGTTGCATGCAGGGACAGGATTCAGCAAATCAGCATGATAGCAGGCATTTCCTCTACTGGAATATCTCTGGTATTAATAATAAGTCTATGTCACTAAAAACACATCATTCAGCCCCGTTAAGCTTCGTCCAATGTAGAACCCTTGTTGTAACGTATGACTAAGTTCAACCAATGATCATGCAATTTAATAGTAGTAAGCAATGCAACGCAATACTATAAAGTTGATCGCATTTTAGGGGGCTAATCAGTTGCTACCTACTACAGCACCACTGCAATTTGCAATGGATAGGAAAGGGTACTAAGGCGAATACTAATTTAACTACAAATTTTTGTCATTATGATAGTTGTGTGTAAGTGCATAATAAATAATTAACTTCATGTCTACGTTGTATGGAATTGACGCTTTACTGTATCATATACTATCGTCGAGTTTCTAATCAACTTGGAAACCAAGCAGGACAATGGCGATATCAGACATTTTCCACAAGATTATGCCATTACCCCTTATAAAGTAACAACAATATAGCCAGCGATAACATCATCGTAAAATAATGTCCAGATTGTTCGACCTAGCTAGCAAGCAAGAAGTAAAAGAGAAATTTCATAGTACAAAGATACTAACCTGCGCTAACTCGTTATGATCGTTGACACTTTGCAATTCTTCCATTGATAGTACGAAGTGTACTATATCCAGATGGTACACCACTGATTAGAATAAGTATCCAAAGGGAAGGACTGCAATATTGCGATAGAAAATGAAAATTATTAGAGCTTACGGTAGAGCTAATCAATACAAAAGTTTCACAATGAGCTCCTATAGTACATATTAAGATTGGATTTTCAAGGTGAACACTGAACAGCTGTTAAGATATGACATAAATGAGGATGTAGATCGCTAGCAAGTATATCAATCTTGATTGGGATATTTGTAAACTGTTAACGCATGCATACAATATGCACATACCGATTAATGGATTATGACTGTATCGCTAGCACGATGAAAGTTTCAATTTGCGAACAATGCCTTACGATCGATAAAGATCAAGTAGTACAGTATTGAATGTCAAAAAGCTTCAAGTAGCAACTTGCTGTCCGTTGTAGTCGTAATAACTTCAGAATTCAACATCGCCTAATTAGCAACTGCTCAATCTCCATGATAGGCCATCGTGAAGGATTATTTATGTCTTCAGCTAATAATTAATTAATAAGGCCAATCATCTCGATCTCCGCTACTTAACAGTGATGATGCCACCGCATGTTCAGTACAGTACAGTAGAGTACAGTGTACAATACAGTACTACGGTCTATCGTACAGTACTCGTCCACCATTCCATACCCATCAAGTAGAGTACAGTAGTGTAGAGTACAATATCGTTTTCTCAGTGGAATCATGGCGTTACTGTCGGTAATCAGACAGTGCACAGCATGTTCATAACCCCAACCCATACACCAAGTCAACAAGCAAGAAATTCCTTGAACTATGCAATATTATACAAGGACATCAAATCACTATTATTTGTTTGCTTTGCGTCATGTTGATCAACGCTACATGCTGACAGTAAGGTATGGTATGGTAGGGTATGCTTTCATAATAAATATTATTATTCTAATAGAATAATTTAATTTCAAAGTCGCAGGCCTAGGCAGCATACTGTAGGCAAAGTAGAGTCATTCAGTCATTTGGCTATTGCCAATCATCAAGTGATTCATCCGATCCGACTCCATTTTCGTCAATATACAACACAACAGTAGCAAGATAGGATGATTCAATAAGGGAAATGAAAGTCATTCATCCGATCCGACTCCATTTTCATCAATATACAACACAACAGCAGCAAGATAGGATGATTCAATAAGGGAAATGACCAATTTCAATTTCTTCATCGCCAATTATTTTTTCCACAATTGAATTGAAATTTAATTTAAATTACATCATGATGAGGCGATAACTGATAACTAATAAACTGACAAGAAATACAAAACTTGGAAAGAAAAAATAATCAATCATCTACGCAGACGCACTCGATCCATTGCCTCTGCTAATGTTAGTGCGCCCCACACAGTGGTCACTGGTCACTGACTTGTCACAGTCACAGTATACTGTACAGTAGACTGTAGAGTACCCTTCAATACTGTAGTGGAGTCGATAGTCAAACAAATGATGTCCAAAATAAGCCCACGCCTGCCCCCCCCCACCCATTGGTTCTCCTAGTCAGCTAGAGTAACCATACAGTCTGTAGTTTGGCAACATTTTTACTTGATAGACATTGAAGAAAGAAGGGAAAATGAACGATATGCCACTATATTTTAGGGGCATATCGTTCATTTTCCCAAGAAAGAAAGAACAAATGATGTCCAAAATAAGCCCACGCCAGCCCCCACCCATTGGTACTCCTAGTCAGCTAGAGTAACCATACAGTCTGTAGTTTGGCAACATTTTTACTTGATAGACATTAAAGAAAGAAAAAAAGAAAAACCTTTGCTTACTGTACTGTACAAGTGTACAATGTACATGTACTTTTACAATACAGTATATATATATATATGTCGTTTACTGTACATCACTGAACGTCCTAGGAAGAAATTTTTCACAATTGATATCGAACCGCACTTCAGAGTAACAACTAACAACCAAGATACCACAAGCCCCCCATTCTACATGCTTCGTGTAGTTAGCGTACTGTACTGTATATATATACTGTAGTGCACAGTAAAGTTATATACAACATAAAGGGATTGAACCGAACCTTTCTCACGTCTACTATAGTAACATCAAGTTTCAACCAATTCTTTTCCAACACAACAGTAAATAAGCAAACAGAACGATGCGTGATGATCACAGAAGGACTAACTTCTAAATATGAACACGTGGGGTTAGGGTACCAAATCAATCAATCCAAGCCAGCGCTCACGTGTGCTATATACCGCACATGAATAGCAGTTAATAGTGTAGTAATAACAATAGCAATACCAATACCCCCTGGCTATATCCATCTACAGTACAATAATATACCAAATAGTACGTTGCAATGATGAAGCAAAAACGATACACGATTCTTATACTGTATTAGATGTATTCTTATGACATTTTACTCTGGCTACAGTTGGTATCAAAACATCCAGATACTCGGGGGAATGGAATGTGACTAGTATCCAAGTCTATACAGTATATATATATAAACACGAACGTAGCATAAACATACAAACGGGCATCGACTAACAACAAGAAGGCACTAGAATCTTCGCTAATAATCAATGTCATATACGTACTGTACACTGTACACTGTACAGTGCTGTACGAAGTCACTCGGTCTAAGAAACTCCATCTGGTTAACTTACAAAACACAGCAGGATCACTTTAAAGAACTCACAACAATACAAAGATAGAGAGAGATTTCAATTAAAACAAATTAAAAAAGCAAATTTATCCTTTGCAATAAAGATAAAGTAGAATTATTGTACTGTATTATTACCACCTTTGCTAAAAGAGAGATAATCACTGTCAACTGTAGAGGTACCGTCCAACCAGATCAATCAGGTACTTCTACGCACCAATATAGTACAATACTGTACAGTACATAGACGATACTAACTTCAGCTTAAGCGCACTGTTTCCAACTAATCACCAATCATTGAAACACAAAATTGTTGATGCATCTGCATTGTAGGTCAATACAAGTGCAGTAGCTGTCATGGAAGGAGAGTATCATTCGAATCGCCTTTGGTCTAGAATATTCAGGTTACGCAGTCAATACTAGGCAAGACAAGCAACTATTGTATAGTGTATTCAAGAGTGCCCCTGGGGTTCACATTGATATAGTACGTGTATACCGTTACGAAGATGCATGTTATTATAGTTGAGTTTTCTATCGAAAAACTTAGCCGTTAATGGAGCATCATCCCAGACAGACACTGTCGCATAACTCTCCAATTTGATTCCTGAATAGCGCATTGTGTGTAAGCTATGATACTGAAATGAAACACATCTTTATTCAATTACCAATAAAACAGTTCGATTGGTAACATGCAACAAGATTGCATCTATTTTTTTTTTATTATTACCAGTAATAGAATACAATATTCCGACATTAGAAGATTAATCTCCCTAACTGCTGCTAGGTGTAGTGCTACCATCGTCGCACGACTGTCACTATGATTTGATTGGTTAAACGAAAACTGAACAATCGATTTAACTTTGAACGAAGGGAAACTTTTCGCATCACTTGATTTAAGCAAGCCAAAACTTAATATTTACAATACTGATTACCGTCAAAGTTTATTTATTTGCACGGACTAATAACACCGATTTTACTATATAAGTACAAAGTACAAACTCGAATGAGTCCATCTACTATACGTACCTGCAGAGCTGTACGTATTTTGTGGATACTATATTGTACAAATGTACAGTACAACACAGGGTACAGAGTGATTTCTATGGCTAAGTAATGAATCAGCCGGTCATGTGCCGCTTTATTCCGTGCAGTTTATATGGATTTAAAATTCGGAGCGGCATACTGTAATCCATAAAACTTGGATCAACTCATCTTACCTGTACAGTGTACAGTATAGTGCATAAGTACTTGGAAAGTTATACTCACTTACCCCACCAGATAAATATTTAATAATGAAATATTCTCGTCTCAACACCCGTAACGAGCTATCTATCTTCAAAATCGTAAGCTATCGACTTGATATTCATACCCTAATAACACCGCACTTATTTCACTTGAACATTAACACGTAAATAGAATCTTATTACGTATGAGCTGTGTATCTATAGCGGCATCGATTGATTGACAAAAATATCAACGTTTGATAATGTAACTTGTACAATAGCGACCTCTGATTCATGATATAAATTACGTGACTTTGTGAAAAGGTTTGGAGAGATAGCAATATATACTATGGAACTTGTTACTATCCAGGAAATTGAATAAACACCTGAGAAGACATACACAATATTTACTACATCATTTTTACATACCTGCTGTAGGGCGTTAATGCTTGAAATCTTGGGATAGATGATTAGAGATTTGTAAAATCAACCGACGCAATTTGCATCACGTGCAGTGTTGCAGAAAATGAAGAAGTCTTTTAATTGGGGAGGAGATGTTGTATCGGCTTTAGGTTATCAGCGAGGGCGGCGAAACGATTCCGTCCAAAGAGTCAATAGTAAGTCAATTGGATAAGTTCAACTTATCCGCATGTGTCCTCTCAACCAGTCCTCCAATAAATATTGCAATCTAGAAGTCTCTCTGAGTTGATCGAGTCCATGTACACTTGTACTGTACGACGGTATCTGACTTTATACAGTACAGTGTACAGTAGAGTACACGGATACAATGATTTGGACCCATTTTCTCCACCATACAGTACAGTACAGCACAGTACTGTATACTGTACTGTAGTATAGTACTGTAGTCTGTACTGTGCACGTACAGTACTGTACACGGTGCATAGTGCTGTACAAAGTGACATGGACTTTTAACGCGGCAATTTTTCATTTCACCCGCGCAATAGTGTAACTCTGTATCTCAACTTGTGCAATAGGTACAGTATAGTACTTAGCCAGCCATTGGTTATTGCAATATATTCAATGACTGGATAGTTACTCTTTGTTTCTATTTTATTTATTTGACTCCATTATTTATACGTATTTATACGTTAGTCTTGACAAAAGAAAGAAAAAATACAGTACTGTATATAGAAAGATAATAATACCACCGGACCATATTAAAGCAAACGTCACAAAAGCTCTAGGCACAGTACTGTACTCTCTAGTGTATTGTACTGTACACGGCTACGCCTGTTTTGGGCCACCCTACACTACTATACTGTACAGTGTCCGTTGGTCTGTACAGTATACAGTACTGTACAGTCTACAGACCAATACTGTACAACAAAATTGCTTCTGCACTGTTGCAAATCTTTGCATACTGTACGTACAGACGGTACAGTATACCATATACAGTACAGTACAGTACGTATTCTTTTATGGGCTCACTAGCTGCAGCAATGGTACAGTGGGACTTTCAATGTATTTCATTTTAGCTCAAAAATAAATTACTGTCAATATTCTATTCAACAGTCAGTTCATTTTCACTTTTGAATCTAGCGGAGATTGGACGAAACTACGTCTGTGAATATTGGCTACTGTGTGATGATGAAGTTACTTTGAGACATAATTTTACAAGCCAACGATGTACAGTACATTGTACAGTACTGTACTGTACTATGTTACTGTGCAGTTCTGTACAGTACTGTACAGTACTGTACAGTACTGCAGTCTTCCATGCAATCCTATTGGCTATTGATGAAGGGTTAATGTTAAGCTTTTGAAGTTACTTTGAGACATCATTTTACAAGCCAACGATGTACTGTACAGTACTATGCTACTGTGCAGTTCTGTACTGTACTGCTGTCTTCCATGCAATCCTATTGGCTATTGTTGAAGGGTTCATGTTAAGCTTTTGTACGCAGACTCTGCTCTACTCTATTGATTTGCAATGTTCTCACAGTCAGTAAACTTCATCAAAGAGGGAAGAGTTCATTGAACAGCTGATACAGCACAGTAAGTCTACATGTAGTACGGCACTACTACTGTACACTGTACACTGTACAGTAGTAAGCTGTACAATCTGATGACTTTCGATGTCTCCCCTTCGTTCAAAAATCAAAGTTGTATTTCGTTCAAATTCCTGCATAGTATTTATATATGACATCTATACCCATAGAAAGATATCTCCCAAGATAGATTATCATGATAACATGAACGTACTATGTCAATAGATAGTAAAAAAATCGTTTTAATGGCGGACCATTATTTTTACTGTACTACAGTATACTGTAGTGTACAGTACAGTGCAGACAGTACAGTACTCCACTGCCTATCATGTGCGTACTGTACTGGACTGGACTGTCAATCAAAAACCCACTCAAAGATTAGAGACATCGAGGTTATATAAAGTGCGTACACAATCACGCACTCACTTAAGCCCTGACATTGATACATTTCAGATTAGTGGGTTAAAAAGAATTGATTCGCTTCTACTCTATGCTCCCCCCCATTCGATTCCTTGTGAGCATCGAGTTTACAGCTTTCATTCAGCTCTATCCAGTTTGAGTGGCGACTTGTAAGAACGACGAGTTCCAATACATCAAGTGATATGGCACACGCAAGCCTTAACGGATTTCTAGACTTGTATAGGCCGGCCACCGAAGAATGGCTTCGGACTCTCGTAACGCTAAAGGGCGAATTGTTAACCATCAGTTTAGAGAGCGATAAAGTATCCAAATTGATACCCCAACAAAAAACAAAAGATCAACCACCAAACCAACAAGAGCAAGATACAACTCAACCAACTAATTCAGGAGAGCAACAGAACGATGATTCCACCATCGCTCAATCGATCAATATCGATCAAGATAATGATACTACTGATAACACTACTATTGCCAATGACGCTGAATCAAGCCAACCACCCAACTCCATCTTGGATCAAGTACGCCAAGTAACAGTTGTTAAACAAGATATTGGAGGCCTTGGCATCAGTATTAAAGGTGGAATCGAAAATAAATTACCAATAACAATATCGAAAATTTTTAAAGGCTTGGCCGCTGAACAAACAAACAGTCTATATGTTGGTGATGCTATCTTATCAGTCAATGGCGTCGATCTAACCAATGCTACGCACGATCATGCTGTCAAAGCCTTAAAGTTATCTGGACGTGAAGTTGTGCTACAGGTAAAATATTTACAAGATCATGATATACGTTCTCGCCAACAGCTGCTGAGTTCATTGGTTTCTGAAGTGGAAACGTCGACAAATGGTGAAAATTCGAGCGGATTTCAAAATTGGCGAGAAGTCAAAACGATACCCTTAAAGTTATGCCACCTAACCCAGTTAATTTCACCATCAGTTCACAATAAAACCAATACAACATTTGAAATTCGAACCAGCGATGGCTGCCCTGCATGCATATTACGCTGTAAAGATCAAGATGAATTCGATCAATGGTTTGAGGCTATTAGCCATAACGCTGAACTTCAGATTAAAGTGGCAATTGATGAAGCCAATCAAGTGCTAGATGCAATTGGTAATAGCCGTGAAATAAAGCAAATGGGTTGGTTACATGAACAAATAACCACTGCAAGGTATTTTACTCTGTGATACAATACAATAGTTTCTGTTGTACAATTACAACGTAATAAGACCACTCAGCACTTGCACTTGTATTGACAAAATTCATTCATAAAACACTTCAAGTAAATTATCAAGGTCAAGATTGTCAAGTATAGTAAATGGTGTACAGTATGAAAGATAGAGCTCATTTGCAATTAGTACTCTTAGCTAATAATATTAGATAATACGCAAGTGAAATAGCCGATGTCTTTACAATTCATTGACCTTAAGCGAACTTAAATGAAGTTATGAATATTACCATAACTTATCACCTTTGTCAGTATGACTTTATTCACTAAAATATTCACATAGATCAAATTATCATAATATATTACAGTTCCGAAAACATTCGAGAAATCAAGAAATGGAAACCAGCTTTCGTTGCCCTCACTGCTAAAGATATCTTATTGTATAAAAGCATCCCATGGTCGAGAGATGAGTGGTCAACGCCAGTTGTTAGTCATCCTTTGCTTGCAACAAGATTAATTAGTTGCAGCAACAATACACGTAATAATGATTGGATATTTGCTACACGCACTGGCTCGCGAAATGGTGTAGAAACCCACGTTTTTCGTACGGAAACGAATCGTGCAATGAAATCATGGTCTCGTGCATTGGTACAGGGAGCCCATGCAGCGGCAGCACTAATTAAAGAAATTAGCTGCGGTTAGTAAAATTATTGCCTTCGATATTGCTATCTAGACCATAGCCTAGTTCATTCTGCAACTTGAACGCGCTAGACTAACCACATGCCAACTTGAAAAGCTAACACTTTGTATACTTATTAACAATAGCGGTAACGCATAAGAATGAAGATGCAAGACTAACACTTCATTGGGAAGATGGCTTTTGTTTAGCGGCTGCAAGATCATCTCCTGATGGTAGGCACCGAATCCCCCGAATCATTTGGCGGTACCCATACGAAAGACTTAGAATGTCCTCAGATGATGGACAGCGCTTTTTATACCTCGATTTTGGAGGTGACGATGGAGCACAAGTAAGTTTTTAGCAACAAATTTCAACGGGCAACGGATTAGCAATCTTAACCTTGTGCTCATACTTACGTAGATAACTGTTTTTGCAAATTGAATGTCACTTTATTAGGAATTGGATCTTCATGGCTGTCCTAAGCCGGTTGTGTTTATCTTACACACGTTTCTATCTGCAAAAACCACCAGGCTAGGATTGTATTGTTGATAGAACAATCATTACAATGTTTGTAATACTAGTTTGACATATTTGTATTAGAGTATTAATTAAAAGAGAGTAATTAACCAATCAAATTTTTAAGGACACTGCCTCTGTAAAATGGCTCAAGAAGTACTAATAACCTTAATCAGTATTTCATAGGATACTTGTGTTGGCTTTATCCCTTGTAAAACAAGCCGTAGCATACTATAGTTGTGCCCAAGCAACATAGCCGTATTAAATGGATTTTATCATATATACAGTATTAGGTAATCAATCATGTCTGTATAACTTTGGGGACATGCTCTATCATCTTAGCATTTTATGACGGAATTTATGTACTGAGAAAGTACTTTATCACGGTATTTCATTTATGTATATATATATATAAGTACACAGTATGAGTATAGCGCAAAGCTGTCGTGAACTACTTATTTAAGTATACACGTATATTTAAGATAGTCGAAAGAATGTTGATTCTTTCCAATCGATAACTCTCACAAAACCTTATTGTTCGTAATGTTGTAGCTATAACTGTGTCGATTAGTGGAGATATAGTAAACTTTTAATGTATGCTACAAGTTACACGATTATAACCATTTTTTAGGCTAAATACTTACAAATAAGTAAACGCTTGGCCTCCATTGTACCAGTTTATAATAGATACCTTCCAACTTATTTTATCGATTATAATATACATCGAATGTACGACTTATGACTAAGAATTTTGGTCACATCGTCTTTATTAAAATATCTATCCACGCTATTATCTTGTATGTGTCATTAATGTTGAACAAAAATTGACTGACATGCGCTAAAATAGCTAATACTTAGGTAGATTATATGCATTGATCACAACGTTGTCTGTAGGATAAAAGCTAGATTAGCATCATCAATTATATCAGTACACAAGCAATCAATCACTAGAAGAGAAGTTCTACTCAATATCAGGTTATAAGGTAGAATTACTGGATCAACTAGGGTAAAGAACATTTATATTTTATATTGCAATCTTAGTCGTGACAAGAATAAATGGCACGTAGCCCAAATGAAGAATTTAATGTTACTTCGCATTAAATTTATAGGATTAGCTTTAATATAATTCGTAGTAGTTATTGCCAAGTTTTACGGCTACTACCATGACACTACTTTACATTCGACTAAGCATTTAGGTTTGTTAGACATAGTTAAAAGTACTAGCTGATAAATAGGTGATTATCGAGTGCTATGCTGGTTGACGACATTATAACTTAGATGGCCATGAGCAGTCATTTAACTGATTATTAAGATAACTTCCAGTAAGTAGTATAAGTCAAATTGCCAAACCCGTTACTGGCATCATTATCCATCCATGACTAGCACCTAAAGTATATAAACCACGATTGCACTATATTCTGTTATATCAAATTATACAGTATAATAATAGAGTGCCACCGTAGGATATAAGCTAGTTAATTATTATTTAACTGGAGACTAATTGCAGTTGTCTGGAGTCTGTCTGCCTATCTGTATCTAGGATACCGGCGAAGCACTCGTAGTGCACTCGTAACTTCAATTACGCTTGCGCACTTAAAAATGACTAAAATTCTTGTTTTAAAAACAGAAACGGAAAAAAGTTATGGCGGCTAAAAGTAATCGTCAGTTGTTGCCAATAGTCTTAATCATTTCAATATTACCTTTAACTAGTGCGAATCTGTTTCCTTTAGTAAATAAAACGTGCACTAGTACTCAGTACTATGATATAGCAACTTTACAATGCAAAAACTGTGGTCTCAATCAAGAACGAAGTAGTGATGGTAAGTATGTCATATTACAACTGTATTGTTGTACGTTAGACTTATATTCTTATTTAATATATTATAGGCTTTTAACTAGTTCCCAGTTCACAGATTCTAGATTTAGTGGAATAAATATTTATATTATACTGGATCCTGGTTCACCTACGATAAATCCATAAATTTTATGATGATATATATATATGTATATATACATTGTACGGTATATGTGCAAGTTAGTACTGTATATATCTCATACGGGTTGTACGAGTGTTATACTAAAGCACAATAACATATCGTTATAATAATTAATGATAATTATAACGTTCAACATACCATATTATGCGATATTGCATTACCGTAAATAGGTATATCTTAGTAAAATGTTTCATTGACAGATAGGCACTCCTAGCATATTGCCAATAAAACTAGTATCATACAGCTTATCTATTTTGCTTAGGTAATGTCATTAATATGATTAGCCATAACAGATATGTGCATCTTGATGATTCGCTAATATTGAAGACTATGTTTTACAATTTCTTTTACAACTTTATATACGTATAGATCATATATTTAAAAAAATCAACTGTCAATAAAGCTTTTTGTAGACTCATAAAGTAGGGTATAGATCCAATTAGAAATCAGGCAGACTAAAAAATTTCAACAGCTGAAGTTAAAATATCAATAAATGATTTACTATTCTGTTGTAATGCCTGCTGTAATGTAGTTGATTCAGTAAGTTCTTCTTAATCGTGACCACTTTGTGCAATTTATTTTAATTTACAGTAAATAAGCACATGCAATATATGCTCAAAAATTATTAGATACGGTACTACGTATAGCATTGAAATAATTTCAAGGAAACACTTATAAGTAGTATCCTTAATCACGATCCACGTTAACTGTATAGATATTGTGTACAACTATTTTTTATACGTTAAATATGCCCATTTTCACTCAAACCGAATAATAATTGTATATTTCAGGCTCAGTTAATCTTCAGGTTCTGTGTAAATTACAGATATCTATAATATTACCCATAACTTTGGATTTAGTTGATGCAGCCCAGTACCGAGCTGCTCACTGTAATTGCATCAACCGCGCGAAATCCTCATATCTTTACAACATCAAAATCCGCTACGGATATTGTTTTAATAGCCTATTTACTCATCTTAAGTTATTACATCAGTTAACTCTACTGCTATACCGCTGTTAACAACACTAATAAATTCCATCCGTTCATTATATCTGACATCGAGCAAAATTTTGTTGAGAATAAAACCATCTTGACCGATTTAATCTGCAATGTAATAGTTTATCAATGTATTAGAAAGTTTTCTAACTTAATCTTCTTAAAAATTCATGATTTGCATTAGTGAAAAATTTCCTATATTCAATTAAAGCTAGCATTTAGCTTAAGAACAAATTATAAAAGGGCATTTATTTATTTTATCCGCAATCTATCAAATGCTCCACTTAACTGTTATGCTTTACCTTTTCTGGGTGCTACCACGATAAAGAAGCCTATAAATAACTGTCAATATTGCACTTTCTGATGTTATAATTTTATTTAAACTGTAAATATACTGCAAGTTACAGTAACTTCTAGACTATATTAATAATCTTCTATAAAAATTAGGGATAATCCATTTCAAAAAGTGATTTTTATCATATTAATGTAACGTTTACGTATTTATGTAGGTACCTATTGCATCTGTCTCAATGGTTACAGAATTTTAAGTGATAATGGAGGACCACCAACAAGCTCCCTGCAGTGTCAAAAATGCCCAACAAATACAGTACGAGTAGAACTATACTTACTATACTTACTGAAGTGCAATCCTGCGAATTATTTAATCAAGTTTCCGATGCGCTTTTCTTCCCTAGGCCTCTTCTACTGATCGTAGAGATTGTATTCGATGCAGCAGTAGTAACCCTTTTGATTCAGCAACTCAGGCCTGTCGAAGCTGCCCTGCTGGCGATATATCGAGTAACGATCTAAAATTTGATAGTTATACAGTAAATTGTTACCAGGATTATATGATAGAAACGATATTGTAGTATCCAATATCAAAATGCTTAATCCTTATCAGTATTTATTCCTTAATAATGTATTACTAATATCGTCTTTGATCTACATTAGACGTTAGATTTAGAAATATCAGCATTGGTAGTACTTTTAGCGTTGTTCCTGTCCTAGAATGTTCCACATGTGGTGATAGCTATCAACCTGATATCACACGGCAAAAGTAATATAAAACTTTTTCACATCAAAATACTGCCGTTAAAATTCATAGCTCATATTGCACAGGCTAAATTTAATTTCAACATTATTATATTAAATTAAAATTTCGGCGAATCCTATAATATAGTTGTGTCCGATGCGATGAGTACGTCCTTAATTTAACTTCAACATGTGTATGTTCTAACGCTCCTGGTACCTATATACAGGTAAGCTGCCTTTTATGAACATTTAAGCCACTACCAGTCAAAGGATAAGCACAGAAGATAGCAAGTTTTTCAGTAATGTCATTCTTCTAATTGGAACCCGAATTTTCTTTTTATAAGTACGGTGGTGTATGCTTTGATACAGGATCTAGTAACAACATTGTTGTGCCTTCTTCGTCATCAATGACTATTACGTACGAGGTTAGTCCATATTCAGCTTTCGTATAAGCTGGAATATTAATGACATTTACGATATCTTCAAATATCAATAAAATCTTAAACCACTTTACTTACAACAATTTTCTATCATTACTCACGATAAGGATTCACAAAGCACAAGTGTGGTATCCTATTACCTTAGTGAAAATTTATTAGCTGCGAAAACGTTATGCCAGGTAAACAGCACATGATCATGAAATTGGGGCTAAATATTATTTCATAATTACCAAGATCTACTTCAGCCGTAGGTAACATTTAATTCTAATAATTTTTATCCCATAGCAAAATTTTAACTACACCGCCTGCCAGCTCTTGGCTAACCTGTGTGTTGTCAACCACTATTTTCGATTTCCTGCAGATGGAGCTTGCGCTTCTTACTATACCTTAGGCAATAATCTCGTTACACAAAATAGAATTTCTAATGGAATTTTAGACTGGTAAGTTCTTTTTAGCGATAATTACCATAATATACCGCTAAGGATAAATTTTCAATAGTTCATAATGGTGATAATAAAAAACTGTTTCATTTCTTTCCCTTGCTGTCTTCCTCAATTTAGGCCAGCTGACTTGCCCTGGCTGTATTATTTCACGGCTACAACTGCTACACCAGTCCTAACTGCAACTTACATAACGACTAGTTATTCCATGAGACCGTCGGCCACGGTAAATAACCTTTAATTTGCAATAATTTCTTAAATTTCATAATCTCACTAGAAGGCATTCAACAATACCGTAACAGCCTACCAATTTCACTTTCTACAAACTTATTTATGCATTTTGTGTGAAAATGCAGCTATATGCAAATGATGATTACAATTTTATTATAATTATTAGCACTCTAGTATAATATTGTATATATATTAGCCGGTATCACTTTTCCTATATATAGATTCGTGTGGTGCTTCCATAATATTCAGCATTCTTATTCTATAATCGAATATGTAATTCAATATACAACGTTATCCCTTTATTCTTTTATTTCTATTTATGTGAAAAGCTAACTACGATTTGCAACAGAATTAGATTTTTATTCTATATGTAATTAGCGTATAAAAAATGGACACCTTAAACCTTTTCTCAGAGGCTAGCGTGATTTTTATCTCTATAGCTTCCTTCAAGATTACAATTTGCCTTTGGGAAATACTACTTAAATGGCACATTTTCTAACTTAGAGTTAACAGATATCCCTTTTCAGGTAGAACTTTCATTCCATTTGTTTTAGTTTTTACTTATCTATCTGGTAGCCAATTTAAGATTTTGACTGCTGTAAATATGAGATCGTCTATTTCTATTGCGTATAGCTATGCCCTGATTCACAAGGAAGAGCACAAGCAGCCTTTGACTTTGGAGTCACATATTCTATTACAGTAAGTTAATTTACGAAGACATGTTGTTTTAATAGATCACGTAATGTTAAAATCGGGATAAGATAACTATATTACTATTGTAAATTAAAATTTTGATTTGCTGATATTTTTTCACATATTATTACTACTACGAGAAAATTTTTATGATCACGTCAGAAAATTGTATATCGATAGAATTAGCATGATTGCTAAAATAACTTGACTTCTTCAGTGCTCTCTTTCCCGTTCGGTCCTACTGAATACACCGATGTACTTTTATGATCCATGTATCCTTTTTCTTCGGAATACTCAAAAAAGGAATACTACTATTACAGACAGATTACCGTTGTTTGCTGACTTTTCTATTGCTGAGAATTATATGCGTATTTCTCCAAGCTGGTTATAACATACTTTTAGGATTTTCTAATCTTATGGTAATAATATAAATTATTTTACTTAACCGAGTATTACTTTAAATGACGTAAACGCAAAGATTTGAGAGATGGAAATACTCTCTCTCCTATCCCTCTTATTTTGCAAAATTATGCGAATCGAGTAGTTGGTGGTAGCACTGAATTTCCCAACGCAGGTATCCTATTTCTTACAAATAATGTATAAACTCATTAAAATCTAAGTATCTTGCTGAAATTATTACAATTTCCTGTCATTACTAGGCACCGACGAAAGCGCCTGGGTACCAACGCGTCGGTTCTTTATTATCGACAACTATAGCAGTAAACCAACAAGTACCGATTCTCCTCGAGTTATACGCTATCCTAAGAGTATTAATTTAAGGTAATTTTATGTTATTAATTAATACCGAGAATAAAGGTATGTGTTAAAGAAAATAGGGGTAACGGAGATACATAATAATATCTACAACATATATACTAATGACCACTAATCAAAAATGGACTTGTGATAGGATAACATTGCAGGGTAGAGCTAGTGCTGGAAAGATCTATCCACCTCTACTAATAATTAATTATGCAGCCGTTAAAACTAGTGATTTGACGGCAACAACAATACAGGTTTGTATAACACTACTTTAATACTTATTTGATAGTATTTCTTTTCTGAATATATTTCAATTCATGTTTAAGTTATGGAAGTATTTAAATATTTTATCGATTGAAAAGACCTGTAACTTCAACATACAATTTTGTATACAAGATTTTATAATCGAAATAGGTGTCGACTAACAATTTCATATCTAATTTTTGCGCAAATGTAAAATTAACTTAATAAAACATATACGTATATACATTATTAGACATCGTTTACGGTTTCATATGTCACGCAAAATCCGGAATATCAAAATAATGTCAATGTAAGCATAAATTATTACCAATTAAAGTACTACAATTTTTTTCCTTACATATAAATGGTTGATTACATACATGAGAATTGTAAAGCCTACCGAAATTTTTCATTACCCTAGATTGCTTGCATAGTGACTGGGTGTCTTACAATAATATATTGCATAATCAAAATTATCGGCTGGAGACGGCGTTGTGGACGGTTTAGTGCTATCAATGTAGACGATGTTCCAGATGAATCCATCAACAGTCAGGTAAATAATGTTTAACATAGTAATTAGATTAGAGTATTATAAATTAGTGCTAATCGATCCAGGTTAAATTTAAAGCAACTTTTAACTCATGTAAATCACCCATTTACTAAATGGATTATCTGATTTGATAGACTATGGTAAAATTCTTCGCTCTATTTCTTGGCTATATGGCAAATTGTCTATTCATCATTTTATTTGGTACTAGCGTATATTATTTAATGTTTTTTAAGGTATGATCATAATTTATTTATGCTAACATCATAAATGATTTATTTAATGAAAGCGTAAAGTATGCCAATAAGTTGACTCTTCTCGAGAATTTGAGTCGCTCTGAAAGTTACGCGTTACAATAACTCGATCTTTCCTTTTATTTTATCATAATTATGATAGGGTCAAGAAGCAGCTTATTTAGTCTTACCATCTTCTACCGAGCGTGGCTATTTCTCCATCTTGTTTGCGATTGCATTTGCGTTTAAAGCCTTGGACTTATTACATATTATATGGACTCAAACAAGCATTGACATCTTTTTCATTGATTGGGAAAAACCTCGCGGAAGTGCAGGCGAAAATAGTGAAAGTAATCGTGCTAATGTGCCCATTAGTATCTGGAGGACATACTTCGTAGCTAACGAATGGAATGAAATACAGGTCAATATATATTTCCCACCTTGTAAAGATATTTGCATGTCAAGTACTGTATTATCCATTGAATCAATTTAATGGATCCCAATATCATAAATTTCTGTTAAAACAGGGTTAAATTGATGATTGTCACTGTTTAAAAATTCGTGCTAAAGTAAAACCAAACTAATCTAAACCAAGAAATTTTTACATCAGACTTTATGTACTGTATAATTTAGTTATGAACTTAGTAATCAACGATTAAATAATGTTTTTTATAAAATTAAATATTGTAGACGATGAGAAAAATCGAAAATACCTTTTTAATTTTTGCTGTCTTATTCTTTTTGGAGGTAACACATTAAGGCAACTCTGTTAACATGCTATCAACATCTTGCCTGATTTTCTATTTCATATACCAACACTTCTACCTGTTGGTATTAATTTTTATTGTCGGTTTATAACTAGTAGATTTTTAATATAATTTAGGTAGCAGGATTTAAAAATTTAGCTACCAACAATCCAGCAACCGGTGTAGTAACAACCGCTGATGAATATGTTGGCTCTCCTAGCCCGCTCTTACGCTTTGGGATTGCGTCGATTTGCTTCTTGGTGATTGCATTTGTCCAGGTAAAACAGAGCGATGATTTATCGAGCAATAAAAAGGTTATGACTCGATAAAATTACCGTATTAGTGCGTTACCAACAACAATGTAAAAAATATTAATTCGGCTAAAATCTAAATTAAGTAAAATAAACCCATAATCTAAGGTGTAGTGACGATGTTATGGTTCGACAGAATTATTCATTTATTACCAATTTTAAACGAGTAAAAATAAATTGTGCTACGAAGCTACAATCTACAGGAGACATAATTTCATACGTATCTCTTTTATTATCTTCCAGTGGGTGTTTTATACATTCATTTACGAACGCTTTATTGAGGATAAAATTGCCCAATTTGTTGATCTTTGCTCAATGAGTAACGTAAGTCCAAATATCATTCATTTATTAATTAAACTACACTACTACTACTTTAGCTTGACTATTGATATTAAAGCAGAACGGGATCCTATCAATATTACTAACTAAACTTTGATTAATTGTCGTAGGTGAGCATCTTCATCATGTCGCATATTCAATTTGGTTACTATATTCATGGTAAATCTGTTCATGGTCACGCAGATACTGATATGAAAGAAATGTTTGAACAATTAAAACGTGAAGAGGTATATTGCTATATGTATTTGAATATTTCCATCAATTTTTGATAGTTTCTACCGAAATGATATTGTCTGATAAAAACATGCTTTAAAACATGTTTACTTGTATATACTCTTCACTTTAGGATAATCTTTGCGGTCAGAGAGGATTACTGCCAAGTTCTGATGTTCAAACCTTTCAAATGGCGTTACCTAGACGATTAAGAATTCAATACGATAAAATTCTAAAACCCTTACAGGTTTGCTTGTCTTTATTGATAAGTACAGTCTTAACTATAATTAAAGATGTTAATTAATATGTTAATAAATCTGTACACGTACTTAAAATAATAGGAGGAAGCAGACAAATCTAAAACACAGAGAGGGAAAGGTAACCTGATAAATTGGAGTACTTTTCGAGCAAGAATAATCATTACTACTTTAGATGGGACTGCTTTCGTATATTTTATATAAAATAAGTAAATTAAATAATTATATCTGAAAAGAATAAACTCAAATTAAATAAGAAACTTGTAATCTCTTAAAGCACTGTATCAAACTTAATAGTTGATGTTACAATTTACAGCAGCAATCGTAGCACAGAGTGCAGTCTCCCATAGAATATCTAATACTATTATCTATAAGAAGATATTGTACAGGTTAAGATCATAGAGTTTCACGTCAGGATGTTGAATTAATTGCGTAGTAATAATGAGAAAGTCCTTGATGCTAAACAGTAACAAAATCTTTTATAAAAATAACTATAACCAATTATACTATTATTAGGTCCTGCAGATCCGCGCAGTAATACTTTGGACATTCAGGATAAAATTGAAGCATACAAGACAATAAATACATTTCTTTCAAATTTTGTTGAGCACGTAAGTATGGTTAATTATGTAATGAATAGCAAGTTGCATCGATTTGCCGCTATGCATATCTTATAGGCCTAGTTTCAAGTCAGGCTTGAGAGTTACAGTCTAGAAGAGTGGCGTTATAAGTTCATTTTGCAATTATAAGATTACAAACTGATTTGAAAATAAAATCACAATCATATTATTGTCTGTTGTTTGAATTTATAGGTAGTTATACGGTCAAACAAATTGATGAATTATTGTTAATCGTTTCTTTTAGTCCTTGCGGCACTTAGACTATGTTGTGAGAGATAAGCTGATGTTGGAAAGGTTGCTTGATATGGAGTTTAATTCTCCAATAGAAAAAGGTTGCTTCTATAGCGGTAAGTCAAAAATCATATTCTACGGCAGGTTGGCCATATCTAATTAGATCTACGAAGTCCTCCCAAGTTTAGAATTAGAAATCTATGTTATCAACATTTTTAGGCCTATAAATAGTCTATACTGTATATATATTCATAATGAAACTAATTCTACAATAAATGATATTATCAATTTTAGACGAATCTCATACATTTGATCGCGTACTCTTTTACGGAAACGAAATAAGTTTGCTGGTATTTGACATACTACTCTTTGGATTGATTGATTTCCATGCTACTAATTTTGTTCTTGCTGGAGCTATAACATACATTGTCGACATGGTAAATAGAACCAAATCTATAAATTAAGCATACTAATATACACCACCATCATGTAATGCTTGTAAATAAGGATATTGTGCCAATATAGGTCTTAAAAATTGCAAAAAAATTATTAAATAAGTTGATATTGGATGACTGTTTATAATGATTTTAATTGTATAGGTTATTGCGGCAATTCGAGACAATTGGGGCAGAACTAATCTAGCTACGAAGACTTTAGTTGATGAAAGATTCTTAATTTAGTCACATCAAGTTGTTAGGTCATAAGTATAAATTATTATGTTGCAGTAATTATGCTAAGGTAAGTCAAACTTTTATTCAAAACCATAAGCCCAGCCTAGCTATACTATAGCGACACGTTATCTAATTTTGATATTTATGACTTTTCTGAGCTATGTTCGCCTTGCTGTGTAGATACTGTATAAAACATTCTTATAAATTAATACAAATTGATTATTTGGAAAATTAAAAGGCTTTCAGGGTTCGAAGTAAATTCTTGCAACGATCTAGGATAGTATCGTAGTTAACTATGATTTAATTTTTAATACCTATCGATTTCAAGTTACTATCTGCTGCTTATTTATGTTCTTGATTATTAATTTGTTTGCGTCAAATCATATTAATATTGGAAATTTTTACTTGTATAGCAATATGCGATTGTAACAATAATCTAACTTTAGAATGCAATTTCCGGTATATTTTAGTACTCTAATAAAGAATACTGTTTGTATATTGGTGTTACGTGATTCAATGTAATCAACAAAAAATAGATCAGCAATGCTTTGCAATGTTAAAAATATAAATTAAAACCACTCCAAAATCATAAAAATTTGTTCATCAAAATTTTGTCTGGAAAATAATATTACTTCAATTGTATCTGTAAATAGTAGTAGATGGGAACGAACTTGCTAGATAAATAATAATAAGTAGTTACAGAAATATTCATTAACTGCACTTAAATTCTAAAGTTTTTTCTGCCTTGTTAATTTGTACGAAATATATTAATCTTTTCCGGAGTAATCGAAGCAAAACAGTCATAGGAGGTTCTTTAGTAGTTTGTAGTTCAACCAGCTTTTTATTACAATACTTTATATTTTACAAATTACTAGAAGTATTACAAATTTATAGTAGCAATCTGATCATATGGTGTATCTTTACTTACAATAAACCATACATGTCAGAGGTATAAGCAATTTTAGTAAGTAAAAGAGTGCATACTATGAGCAGCTTCCTAAAGCTGTTACTGTTTATAATTTAGTTCATATATAGTTAAAAGGAAAGTTTAGCTTCACAACTCCATTTAAATAGCATAATTGATATCGTATTATTTTCACTATGTTTAAAAAGATATTATCGTTTAATTACTGCGCATCAACTTCAAAGGCGTACTAATAACTAAATACTACAGTTTTGTTCCAGGCTTTGTTGATTTCAACAACAATTAATATAGGCAATATCTTAAAGAGCTTTCCCTACATTTTAGTAGATAAATGTTATATTAACTGCATAATTGAGGCTAGTAACCTTGGAAATAAGTCACAGCAATACATTTACATAAAAAGTCTACCAGCATTGCTCAACGGTTTCATAATGTAAGCGTTTCCAAATTATTTTTACGAATGCCTTATTAGTCAGCCATACCTATAACTTTAAAGTAATCTTTCAGATCAGCTTTTCTAACCATCTACAGGAAAGCTATTAGTTTGAAGTAAGGTACTGATGTAGACATTCCTTGTAATATGGTAATCATATTACATATAAGATAAGCTTAATATAAAACTTTCCAAGAAACTCATTCATGAAAGTGAATAATAAATTACTTTATTGAATTAAAGAGATACAAGTAGCGATTAAAATCAAGCACACTTAACATATAGTAAAGGGTGAAGGAATAACTTTCCTTTGTAAACAAATATAACGGATAAAAAAATGTTTTCAATAAGTCTTTTTTTCTGGTTTTGATCACCTCTAACGAATGTTTAAAATCCTTTATAACTGGCTATTGGTAAGGAGAATTTTTCTTCAAAAGTGTTGCTATTGCATGGACTATATCGTGCGAGTGATTAAGGAAATAATAACAGCAGTTATTTAAATTTGAAAACTAAATTTAAAAAGTATTACTATAAAATCGACATAGGGTATGTGAGCATAATGGAATGAGAGAAATGGGAAAAAATTAGAATTCTAACAGTTAATTAAGATCAGTTTAAGAGTGAGCATTTTATACCATATACATTTCAATATTTCTAGACGGCAAATGCTGATTTCGGCTACGTTGTAGATTATCGATTGGAGCCGGATAGGTGTAGATGATGTTGCCATCAGGTCTGTTATAATCTTCATATTGCAATTGAAGTGAAGTATTGGGCTGATACTAATGTTAAAAATATTTGATAATTTTAATGTATCGTCTATTTAACAGCTATTCGCATAGAACTTCTTAATAATGCTCAATTTATAATTTCTATAAATGTTTAATAAACAATAATCATCTAGGCAACCTTACCGTAGTATAGTCTGCTTGATAGCGTGAAATTTCTTTTGATATAGCAGGTGTAGCATTCCTAACTCGTGTTATCCTTGGCGAATTAGATTGTGGATAGAAATGCATGCCATCCTGTTGATATTGATTCCAAGTTTGTGGGATCATAGGTAATCCCATGCTTGTCATCATAGGAGTTGGGATAACACAAACAGATGATACAGGTGGACTTATTTGTCGATCGGTATTAGTATTATAACGATTTTCTGTTACAATGTTTTTAGCAGGATTATTATTTCGTCGACCGTGATATTGATTGTTATCATAGTAAGAATTGTAGCTTTTGTTGGCACTGGTAGTGATTTTAGCTTCTGTGACTTCCTCTCTAGAGCATTGGAATACCTCAATCCATCGTGTACCTAAATGTTCTCGATGTTTTTTCTCTGCTGATTTTATTGCATCTTCAGCCGATAGCATCTGAATATAAGCGTCACCGGAAGGCCGCCCCTACACAATTTTGATGAATAAATCCATTAAAAAGGCGAGATTTTATTTTAGCCATTTGTCTAGGATAGTAGTAATTATAAGGGTTGACTTGATTTCTTAGATACTATGGTAACATTATAACATATTCTGCAAGCTACCCTGGGTATTTTATAGATCAATGTTGTACGCTTATTCAGATGAATAATATGAACCTAGATTAAATTGATTTCTTCAATAGTATGACTCTGATTTTATGCATTTTGCAAAGAACTATTGGCATTTTATAAAATAATCATGAGCATGTTATCTAAATGAGTAACATTGATTTACACTTAGTTCTTGAGTGATAATATACGAAATAATCTCATAAGTTAGATAGACTTCTATTGGCATTTTATAGTTTAAGTTTAATTTTAAATATACCCTCTAGATTAGTAATATAAATCGAAACTACATTTCTTTAGATGATATCCTAGCATGGCGCTAATAATATATGATTAAAATCTACTATAGGTATGTATTGCTAAGCAAGTGTTCTATGCTATCGTACCCTGTCATTGATGCATAAATGAATACCATTAAGAGCAATTTTATCAGCAAGTTCCCCCATAAAATTGGTGATATCTGGTTCTGTTGCCGTAAAAGGCAATCCTCGCAAGCGTATGCAATCTCGTACACTTTCTTGGCTCTTTTGCCGTAAATTTGTTAAAATTTTATCGTTTTTGCGGTAACTGCTGCTGATATGGCTTTCTTGTAGTGCCTGAAGTGAAGGGTTACTCATTAAATTGGGCAATTTATAACAGCTCCGATTGATATAATTATCTATAAACGGAGGCATATATTATACATCGATTTTATTCCGTTCACTAATACGAATATATCGACCGAATTAAGATTATTCTTCATCTAACCTTTAGTGCATCATTTAATGAACAATCATATAATTCAATATGGTGATTTGCCATTATCTTGTAGTCTTTATATATTGCACTTCGTGCAATTTCAGGTGTTTTAAATGCTACGTAGCCTTCACCTGTTGTTCTTCCATCAGCAGATAGAAGCAGTAGAACACCTTCTTCGTTGTCTAAAACATCAGCTGTACCCTTAAAGAAATTGACAACATCGATAGCTATGACAGTACTTGGTAGCCCTTTTATACGTAGTAAAGCAATTTCTGGCCTGTCATTGCTTTTCATTAAAGCGTTGACAATAGTTGCACCTGAACATATTATAAGTAATTTAATTATTAGTATTTCAACTTATATTGCTATAGGACACAATTTATTCCTATAGCCTGTCCATATAATATTTATCAGATTTATGCACAGTATTCGCATAAACTAACTTGAAATGCAATTAAACTGAATAAGTTCTTAAGTTAGAAAAATAATTTTTCTTTTAGCTTAGCTTATCTACTGTCATTTCAACTTATCAATATTATAATAAAGGACATATAAAATATTATATATTGCCACCCCTTCAATAAGTAGATTTCATATAACACATCAAATTAAGTTTTGGTGAATTATTATTGTAAATTAATGTAACACACACTATTTATAACAATTTATCATAAGTATATTAAAATTCGTACTTCAACTTAATTTCGGATAGTAGAAGGATATATTTTAGCTTAAATTGACTAATTTACAGCGAATTTAAGGCTGTCAAGTAGAATTATTATATTATATCTTCAGTTTATATCAATACCTCCAACGTTAGGGATGAAACCTTGACCGGCATTGATTTTGTAAATCTATAAATATGCAGCATTAATGTTAATAGGTAGATTAGAGGATAGTAATATTATTAGATTTTAAACCCTTTATAAAAGCAACTGATTAATTCAATATCAATAAGGCTATTAATTTCACCCGAATAGACTTTTGATCAATATATTGGCTATGCCTTTTTAGTGCTAGATCTCGTTGAACAGTGTCTTCAAATTTAACATAAGCTTGACCATAGCGTTTACCATATTCGCTAAGCAAGAAGGAAATCCCTCCTCGAATAATGTTAAGTCCACGAAAGAAGCTTGCCACATCTTGGTCATTTAAATATGTGGGCAGATCACAAACTTTAACAGCTAGCTTATTATAGATAGGGCTAGCGCTGGATATACGCGCAAAGAAAAATAATAGACATCGAATATTTTGATTAACGATAAATGATTGTAGTCTAGACTTAAATCATCTTATTTACCAACTGCCATGGTAAGTTGTGGGTTCCAGTCTTCCCTTAATATTTTGGTAACTTGGGAATGTTTGAATTCCTATACGGAGTAGACAGAGAATCAATTAGCGCCATACGTGTTTGGTAATAAATCTTATCTTATGGGGTTAATAATTAGTAGGGGAAGGTTTAAAAAGTTACAATAAGATCCTATCTATATATCTCACTCCATAAATATTAAAAGCTATGACGCTATAGCACACGTTTAATGATTATAATTATTAATCCCCGTTATTTTTGTATGCACCATTTTTATCATAAGTACCTCTAGCTGCTAATGTTTGATAAAGGCTTAGGACCAATTTGCTTCGATTTTTTGATTGAATTAAATCCTTATCAAGATGCAAGTCTGAAGCAAAATATAAAGGATTCATGTATAAGTTTTAGCTAATACTTTACGATATGTCAATCTATATCACTGGTGATTATATTCGTAGGTTTTAAAGTTACATAAGAGTATCGTCGATCTGCCTATTTAGCATTCTGATTATTTGGTGGTAGATTAAGTTAACTTAGCAATTTATCTTTCCTGATATTATTATAGCTGGTTAAACAATTGCACAAATTGAAAACATTAAATATTTAAAATCTCTACAATTTATTGTAGACAACATGGATTAATTCTATCACATATTTTAAGAACTTACATTCAGCAACATCGTATAATGTCATATCTTGACTTTGGTCAGGAATAATTTTATGAAATTCTTCCTTAACATCAATAAATACTGAAAAAACAGGCGGCAAATTGAATGACAATTTACTGGCTAACTGTTGTAACCATTGCCTAAGGTGAAATTGGCCATAAGATACTAAGCACCATTTATGATGCTGGTATTGATTTACAGCTTTGCACAACTAAGAAAATATGAAATGAAAAATGGATAGAGGTGTTCAGTATGAAGCTGAAAAAGATTCATTTAATTTCAATTCTATTTCTTGGACGAAACTGCAGGTTATATCATCTAGAGCGGAATTACAGAAATATTATAAACAGATTAAGATAAATTACATATCAAACTATTTAATAAAATCTCTTAAGAAACATTGATACTTTGACCAATGGATGGATTATAGACTGAAGATTGATAGACGCTAAATGTTATTTTTTACCGGCTACTTTAGTCGAGATGTTGAAATTAGAAGATCTTTTAAACTGATCAGAATTAATACATAGAGATAAGTATGAATTATTTTTGGTTTTAAAATAAGCATAGGCAAAAGAAATTGACCTAGAAACGAGAATTAAGTACATTGCCATAGTATCTAGGTTATCATCATAGCAAGATTGTAGAATAGACCTAGATAGATAAATTATTCGTTTCAAAAGGTCATTTTTAATGTAATAATTTTAATAGCTTTTAGATTTAACACTTTAGTCCAATGGACAAAACATGAATTATAAATTGCCCAATTTTGAATATTAACTAATTCTTTACAGGTCATCATTATAGAAAGATTGTAGAATACCCCAGATAGGTTATCTCAGAAGATCAATCTCAGTTTAATTTTTTTATTGCGTTTAGCTTTAATATTTTAGTCGGATGGACAGAATATATATTATAAATTGACCGATTTCGAAAATTAAATTATTTCTTTATAGGTCATCATTATAGAAGGATTGTCAGATTGGTAAGATTGGTAAGATTGGATATCTCACAATTTCAATCTTATTTTAATTTATTTTTTAATCTTTAGTTTTTACATTTAGTTTAATGGACAGAATATGAATTATGAATTGACCAGTTTTGAATATTAATTATTTCATTATAGGCCATCACTATAGAAGATTGTAAAATAGACCCAGATAGCTTATCTCAGATGGTTAATCTTAATCTTATTATTTTATAGTGTTCAGCTCTAACATTTTAGTCCAATGGACAAAATATGAATTATGCATTGGCAGATTTTTGTATATTAATTATTTTTTCTATAGCTCATTTCTTATTTCCAGTATTGAACTCTAAGTTACACGTAAGAATTAAAGTAAATTGGTACGAAATAGTCTTTCTTCGGTTGATTTTATATTTGAAGGAGATGTTGGAATTAAAAACAAATAGAGGAATAGAATAAGGAGCATTAATGTGGTAGATTGAATGTATTTCATTTTTCGGTTGATTTATTGTGAATGATGAGATGTCCCGCAGACCGGCTGCAGTCTAGCACGTGAAGATGTTACTACAAACTTTGAAGTAAGCATTGAAAAATTAAAAATATACAAAAGACGACGAGGTAACTGATTAGCATAGCTTAATTTTTTATTTCATAGCTTATTAGGTATTCCTAATAGCTAATTACTGTTATTTATCACGTTGCAGAGGTCAGAGCAGGAATGTTGTATTATTCAGTTCTCTTGTTGACGGATATAATGTCAATCGAATAAGCAGAAAGAAAAATAAAACATAGAATCAATAGTGACATGACCATAGCAATTAGTTAAACATTGCATTAATTGATTCTTGTTTATTTCATAGCCATCTTTAACTTGTTGAAAAGTCTGCGTCTTTCAAATATGCATTGAAGCTAAGTGTATCAAAATAAGACGTCGAATTCACGCTGATTGTCTACTGGTGATGGATTGTTCTACAGACTGTCCTTGAACTACTAATTATTGAAATTGGATGCAACAGTAAATTTCAAGCTGTGTTCGCCATGTTGTTCTTTAATGACAATAACTCCATTATCGCCAATGTACTATCTTGATGGCTATGCAATGTCCAAACTTTGTCAAGTAATATTCAGTCACTATTTAATTGCAAAATTTGGATCCCAGCTTGAGTTCTAACCAATCTGCTGATATCTTCAAACATGGCCGTTAACATTATTCAAATACCAAAGCTTAGCCGACATACCCCCTTCCCTAGTCTATTTTATTTTCGCACGAATAATAATTGACATCATATATTCATTTCAAGCAGACGTCTATTGAATATCAACACTAATATTTTATTCTATTTGGGCTTAAGCTTACGAAGTGAACGTTATTCAAAGCAGAATTAATTTTCTACTTTAAAATTTATTGTCAACACTTTTTTTCATGTCAAACAATGACGCGTGATCAATTGACCTTGAAATTGGCGAAGTAGCGAGAGCAATCTTCGAAATTTGTTGGTCTAAACATAGCTAGAAGCGAGATTAGATGGTGATCGTGAATATTTCTTGCTCATTTATTAGTAAACAGGCGATCAATTCCATCTGTGTAATGAGGCCTTTGAGATATGACACTTTAATACTGGGCTAACGCGTACCCTCTTCTGTCAGCCATTGCTAAAGCTATTCAAATTTGCTTTAAAGTAACGCATGGCTGCTACTGAATTTAGGTCTAATGTAGTAAAGTCAATCGATCCTAATACTTCTTTTCTGGGGATTTTGGTGTATTAATTTTGTTAATAACGCCTATTTTCTATCGAAAATACTGCTAAAATCATTGCAGTTGGGATTACAATAAATATTGATAGTATTCTACCTGTTTTTGCTTATCTTAATCTATGCCAATTTCTATTCTAAAACAGTTTTAGGCTACGTATTAATAGAAATGGCTACCTTCTATCAATAGAAAGGTATTCTACTTTTAACTGAGAGATAAGGATATTCTTTTCTTTTCTGCTTGTTAATATAGGCTCTAAATTTCAAATCGTTATAAATACAATTCATATCTTTTACGATATTTTAATTTACAGGATGGAAGATATTTCAAAAGTAATAGGGTCCATAACGCCAACTAATGTCAGTTTAAATGAAATTATTTTCTTTTGATAGACTTGATATATTAAAAAAAGTTCATACTACTTACATTATTACCATATTGAATCATCCATTTCGTTAATTAATGAGTTTTATGATACCTAGGTTTAGCCTTGTAATAAAAAGAGTTATATACATATTTTTTGTGATTCATTTATGGTCAAAATGCATTAGTTTATGACCTATTTATGACAAAAGACATCAGCTTATGTGCATGTTATGCTATAGATCATAATATAGGCCAAAATTGATTTGACCAGATACAATTCAGTCATATCTAGCCTATCTTTCTATATAAACCCATTTATTGCTTGCAATAATGGCCCCATAACTAGATCTGCAATGCAGACCTTTTTAAGAAAGGGAAGGTATAAATATTTCTAAAGGTGTTAGTCCATTACCTTTCTAGTGCTGCTCCATATGAGTTTCTCGGTATATAATTATCTAGCTATGCAAAGCATCGAATAACGCCTACTTTAACCTTTACAACCTAATAGTAAATTAATTTTACTTGTTAAAAAAATATATCACTATCTATCTATTGCTACTCCATATGAGTTTCGCAGTACGTAATTAGCCGGCTGCCGCAAGACATCTAATCCTGTCTTCCATATAGGTTTCTCGGAATATTATCGTCTGGCTACTGTAAGACATCTAATCTCTGTCCGCTTAGAGCTTCATAGTCTAGTGGTAAACTAGTTTATTAACCACGAGAAACTATCGCTACTTCATATAGGCATCTTATCGATGGTTATTTCTATTTTAAATAGCTTCCATGCTAATCTAGTATTACTCAAGTGGACTATCTTACTCAGTCGTCTACTCACCATCGATAATCATGCTCAATCAATTAAATTTTATTTTAAGACAGTCTATATAACATTTATCTGTTATTATTACCCTTCTTTTATCTAATTTGATATCCCTTATGCCACGCAAGTACCTCCGAAAGTCCTATACCCTTTATCTATGTTAAATTTCTTGATAATCAAGCAAAGTCTGTAGAACTTCATTTTAAGCTAAATTAACGCCTACAGTAATTTTACTGATTTAACGTATTCTGTATGATTATTGTGAACGAATAAGATATCTTATTAATTAACTAATTAGTGATTTAATAGCATTCTATCATAAAAATTTGGGGGAGGGCTATTCGTCAGGTTACAATATAATTAGTTCTGGCTTTGTGTTGACTAGATTCTATAGCAGGTATGAAAGTGGTCGAAAATTCGTTAATGAGGAATGAGCAGCGTGGCTAAAATTAAATTTAAGTACGTGTATGGATATATAATGACTATACTGTCCTCATTAATAACATCACTCAACCATAGTGTTAAAATAATATCGGCGAATTTGAAATCATCTCTGCTACAGCATAACGTTAAATTTAATGTAGTATGATCGCTTTTGCTAAGTTGACAGAGATTTACATCTAATTCTTTCTATAACCTTTCAAGGTAACTTCTAATACAGCATTAAACTTATTATAGCAATAACTTGATCCGATCGTGGAGAAAATACGATTATTCTTTATCGTTTACTAAATGACATTTGAAAAATAATAAAATAGAATGCAGCAGAATGATTAATCAAAGCTCTTTTAAACCTATGTATGATTATTGGCTTGTTAAGTCAAGACTTTAAGACAAAAAGAAGACAGAAATGGGGTCAGCTAGCTTAAATAAGTTGTTAATATTATAATTAACTTTGTTATTTAGAATAATGATGATAAGAACAACTTTTTCATTCCTTTATTACACGATGAATCTAGTCTGAGTAATTTCTACTTGGATATTATCAACCTCCCTATAGAGTAGTGTAGAAATGCGAGTTCTGGTTAATTCTTTAGATATCAAAACTGTATCAAAAATTTTTTACACCATGAATCTAGAAAGAGCAGTTTTCATTTAAGTGAAATTAACCTCCCCATAGAGCAATATAGAAAACTTTATGAATGTGATTTTCTTATCCGTTCTATTCTAGTACCGTAATGTAGCTTAACAAAAATGATAGAGGATCAAATCGATATATTTCTCAATAAAAAAAAGTTGATACTTTAACTCTTTGGATGGTCGTGCTATAGCTCGTATAATCTTCAGGTAGAAATTAAAATCGTATTATGATTAACTATTGCTACTCCTGCTATTTTCTTAGAGTCTAACCTTCTCTAGCAATTGATGAACATTACATGCGCCTGATGATAGCGATGTTGGTGAGGAAAACTGACTGCCATATAAGCTAGCCAAGAGTTGGTTCTCGAGATAGACCGTTTCTTCTTCAGAATAGAGTATCTAATCAAAAAAGGAATCAACGACTCAATACTTTAATGTCTAAAATTCTAATATGAAGGTAAATTGATATAGAGAGATAGCAGGCGATAATGATAATTGATGAAATGATGATAGCGAATAACAACGATAATCGATTATGAACAAGTCAGTTGGCTGTTAAAAAATTGAAGGAATAGTTCCTTAAATCGTGCTTCCAAATCTCATAAAGATTGCAGATTGATTTAGTTGTCGCATTTTTAATTAGGTCGGATACATCAAATAAAAACTTACAGTATTATCTGCTAATGATAGAGATGACCACTGGACGCTATTTTGACAGCATAGAGTATATTTTCCATCGTTCTTTGGAAAGGGCTGGACATCAAACGACAAGAGATGGGTTTTTGATTTTAAAGAATCCATCATGGATAATTGGACTACAAAATAAAGTTGAGCAAAGGACGATTTTGATTTTATTAAGGAATATAATGACAGGTAACGTAAGGTATGATGGAGTGTTCCATTCCGGATTAATCGATTAATGGAGAAGATAGATACGATTTAATAGAAAGAATAAAGTTATAAGTTAAATAGAAGATTGCTAGTTTAACCTAAATAAAATTAATTTACTGTTAATTAAAAGATATAAAGGATAAATTCCAAAATTAAAGAGTAGATTTTTAACTATCCTCGAGCTAAGTTTTTCAAAACTGATTCTATATTATAGTGGCTTTCATACCATGCCATCAAGGTGGATGAAATAGTAGTTAACTTACCTTAATATCAATCTAAAATCGACGGTGATGGAAAGAATAAGTTCGAGATCGAAGATTGGAATAAATCTGAAGGATTCGGAGATCTGTTTTGGAGACAAAAATCTTTCCTATGTTAAATAATTAGCGACTAATGCATCATGCAGATTTTATATTCAATGATGATAGAATATAGGTATTAGTAATGTATCCTGATAGTAAACATCGTCTTTGGCTTCCTACTGAATCTTCATTTAATTGTATAATGTAATGAAAAGATGAGGCGCCAGCCACAATCAAAACCATAGGCATCATGCTAACAACGCCATATTCTATCATAATCATAATTACGAGTACATTGATTAATGATGATTCACACAGATTTTGAATGATACACTGTCTAGGTTGCAACAATGTAATATACTTGTATTACTTTATGATAGATAGACTGTTAATTAGTCTATGTTGGTTCTAATTGCACTGTAGTTTGAGGAGAACGATAATATAGCATAGGTTGCTTCTATTTCTTTATTAAATCTATTCTTTTACTTATAGCATAGGAAAATATTTCTATGCTATGTTATTTCTAATTGAAAAAACCTTATTTATTTCTTAGTCTAAGCATATTCACAGAATCGTTTCTCCATCTATTGAAAATGAAAATGTCAATATATCATATACAGCTATGTAGATATATCTAGTACTGTTTAGATATGTTTGTATATTTAGGGATAGGTATGAACTAGCTAGTCATATTATTGTTCCTTCGATGGATGTAAATTTACCATGATAGATTAAAAAATTGTATGAATTTTAGATTTTAATTAACTAATTCAATCTAATGATGCAGTTGTATGGATACTGTTATGTAAAGTTACAGTCATTTTTTGAAGTTATATGAAGAAAATAGGAGGAGAGATTATACCCGCATATTAGACCATCTATCATTATTTGTTAATTACATATTACCTCTGGTCCATTTGACTTTGATGTTGATTTGTATTAATCCTGATGAAATTTAACCTATTTCATTCTTGTCCATTTTATAATCATTATTGGACGTAAGTAATAAGAAGAATAACCACCTGCAGAGTATTCGTCTAATGATAATTATTACCAGTATGATGATAATGACAATAGTAAACGGTTTATTAACTTTTGTTTCTTTAGTTTTTATGCTAATTAATTAAGACATGATGATTTTGTTCATAAATAATAATAATGATGATGATTAATGTAGGCCATAATCCCAAAAATATTCTAGTCCAATTACCAAATTTGCATAAATGCAAATTGAATTCAACTAATATCAAATGTTTCGTAGAATGGATCTACGGCTATTGAAATGTCAATACTGTCTTAATTAATGCTAAATATTTTTAGGGTGAATAGCTAGTACAGTAAATGCTAGTGCTTAAAAGTACGACTATTACCAATTATCAGTTACTGTGTATATTATTATTAAGAACAAATAACATTGTTTACTAGCTACCAATAAATATCTTTGTAGTTCTCTACGTAGTTTGAAGGTGGAAGAATTAAATTTTATGGTAGAGTAAATTCTTGAAGTTTAAAAATTTTCTCTAGTAACACAACTGGAAAGAAGGTTAGTCTATCTCTTAGATTATACACTCTTAGAATACGAATGTTAAAATTCTTACTACTGACGAACGGATGGCGATATTTACTATTAGATCGTAATAAGAAATCGCTATAGAGATATAAAGGTAAATTATTACTAATAATTTTAACCTGGCTATAAAATCTTTGATCTATCGTAACGTTATTAATGCTCTCAAAATTCCATTCATGGATGGAATGCATCTATATGAAAGCTGTTTGTGATTGAGAATTAAAATAAGATTATGGGAAATAATCACCATCCATTGGAGATAGCTAAATCATAAAGGATAACAATAAATGAAAAAATATTTAAATGAAGTATATTTCAATTATGGTGATGATTTAAGTTAGTTTCTTTAGCTTTCAAACTGTTTTTATAGACGGATCTTTCTTCAATCATTTCAAGTCTCTAGGGAATTTCCACGATGAGAGACATCATTAAGTGTAGAATAGGAAATAGCCCTTTTGTAGCAATGTCCCGCCTATTATAAAAAATATAATATTAGTTCATTAATAATGGGACTGTGGCTCTAGTGGTTAGCTAGATCAATTGTTATGGGATTTACTCTTATTCAAATTCTAGACAAGAAAGCTTAACTTCAGCTATATTTCTCATTTTATTCAAGAAATGATAATTAGTATCATGTTGAGGTAATGACCTATTCTGAATGAACGAATAAGCTAGTAGATATTTACCGCAGTTGATAGGCTATAAGTATAATAAGAATTTGAACGTTATGATGGTTCAGATATTAATTACACCTTTTAGCAGTCAGTTTTTGTTACTGAATGCTGGTACTAAATGATTTTAAAATGGAAACGCACACAGTTTATAGGTTAGCAATGCAATCCAGCACTAGTATTAGACATGAAGTATTGAGACACAGGTAACTCTAAAAGAATGAGCAAATGAAGACTATCGTTAAGAAATTATAAAAGTCCATATCCTTATTAATCTTTATTAGGAGCTATTACTTTCGCTGCGTTTGTTACTAATATTCTAAATTAAACTGAATTCTTTACACTTAATCGTCGATTAAATTACAAAGTCACACATCTACTTGATCTTGCTATTAGAGCAATAGCAGGAGTATAATCTCGATGATACGGTTGCAATTTATCTTCAAGAATGAATAATTTTAGATCATGAGTAAGCAAATAACATGGACCTAATTAAATCATGCTATTAGAATGAGTATCAACGTAATTTGAAGCATTTTATTTTATCTAATTTTATGAATATATCGTAATTTGCTTTTTACCACCAGTATATCAAATAAAATTATATTGGGAGTGGAAGATGAAACTAGATATTTTTTATTTGCAAAGCGGACATTGCATGGACTAGTTGTAATTTATCCACTAATGTCAATTATTACAAGATTTAATCAGATAAATAAACAGTTTATATCATTATAGCTAATTAATTAGCACCTACTTATAGATATATTGTTACATTTACTAGGCATGAATTTTGATAATTTTAAAATTGCTTCTAAAATTATGACAAAGCTCTTTCATTAATAACCTTTGGGATTAAATCATAACAAAAAGAAATGTTCCTAGTTATGTATTGCTACTGTTCTACTTCCAGAAATTGTAGGAAGTTAGTCTATTAATTGAAGTAAAAGAGCAATTTTCGCGAATTGTAAGGTTATTAGTAGCACTTAAAGAGATATTGTTAGAACTTAGTTTATTGGGCACTGGATGTATGACGTATTCTACTATTAGAATTTATGAGTTAGTTTGTTAATAGTAATGTTACCGGAACGTAACGGAGTATTGCTATTTGTGATATATACCAATCACGAAATTCCAAATTTTAGAAAAATAAGGGCTTTATTGAATCTTATACAAAGATTAACTACACTCAGCTCTACTCTAGCCGAATACTACTACTAAAGACTTCTAGAACGAACTAACAGAATAATCTAAAGTTGCATGCTTTTATACTGTTCGTAGCATTCGCAGCTACAATCCGCTTGGCAACCTTTTACCTTATTTTACACATAGTAAAATTATTCTTATTATTCTACTGCGGACCATCATTAATCCAATATGGATACGACTACAGTATTTACCTAGACATTGTTCACACCAGCCCAAGTACAATGAATTAACCATATCCTAATATATGATTTACAGTTCTATTTTTACCTATAGCCTTATTAGTAACTCAACACCTTACTATATATAGTCATCTGTACTCTAGCATAGAGTCTATACCACTACAGTCTATAGTTATGGCTACCATTTAAATATCTCTTAGGATAAATATCTACCGTACATTATACTAAACATGGCTAACAGTTTACAATAACAATACTAAGTTACATTACACTATAATTAAGTTCATAGCATACTGTATATTTAATTTTGCCTTTGAAAATTTATAACAACTATTAATTGGAATGGCTACTGTGAATCACAAGATAATTAACATGCATAAAAGGGCACTGATTTCATACTGCTTGTCGGGAGAGAGGCTAAGATAGAGGGGATTCTAAAGTACAATTCTGATTTCAAGCGCTAGATATAGCTGATCTTAATCTTATTTATCATGAAAGTATGTCGGTATAAAGTAGATTTTTCTCCTTCGGCAGATACACATAATGTTGGCCATAAAGTTGAATTGGTGTAAAGTATTTTAAAATCAGACAATTTTATAAAGTAAAGCATGGATGGTAAGTGAGTGGTGGGTTTCTTGATTGAAGATATTGTAAATTAAAATTTAGTCATTTATTCAGAAATTGAAAAATTACTATTACTAATATGAAAGATAGAACTGACGATCCTAAGCTAAAACGAAGATGGTTTCATCTATACTCCTTAAGCTTGTCTTATACCATAATAAACTGTTGCACAATCGTCCTAGCTCAATTTTGTTAAGAATGCACGCTCAGAGGTAATATTTGAAAATGCCAGCTTATCGTTATTTAGAAATACTCGAAATTGCCATTTCTTTTACTTTACCTCACTATTAGATCCTGAGGCTTGTGTTAGTAGATACTAAAGTTATTACTTTAAATGTTGATACCCATTATGTTA